GAGTGAGCCCCAAGACAGGAGACAACTATGCGTATGCGTGGGGCACACAGGCTCAAAGTTGAACAAGCTTGGATTCCAGACAGCTGTATACGAGAAGGTGATAAAAAGAAATGTGCTTGATCAGCCAAGAGAAGACATTTTGGATGGGGAAAGATTAAGTGTGAAAAGTGTGGTGGGTTCCAATGGCCGCTAGGTCTGACACCGCTGAGTTGACTATCTCAAGACCATACTACACCTGACAATGCGATACTGATGTTTAACATATCCGACTAGTCATCTATGAACTTCAGGATTTCTCTGGGCATCCTGGCACTACTAAAAGACTCGAGTGTCAGCGACACCACCCTCAATAAGCCTCCTCCACCAGTACGCTGCACTCTCACAAACTGGATATGCCATCTCCATACCGGCCCCGTACCGGTATGGGGATGGTGTGAAGAGATAGAGGCTTAGGTCGACAGCAAGTGACCATTTATCTCTTTTGGACTTCACTGTTATTGTACCATGCACGCGATATGTCAGACCAACATTGCCGCAAGCTCAATATGAGATATATCGGGAACGCCGCGAACAATGCAGTTGCAAGAGTCTTGTACCCATGTCCTTGGAGAGGTTCACTATCTGGCCGTGAGTATAGTCGGTGAGTTACGGTGCCTCGAGCCGCATGCTTAGCCTTTGCCTTAAGTGTTGCCTCATTTCCGTATATGTATAGGTCCAAATTCGTTGACTGTACTTATGTAGATAGTTGTCGCCTTGTAAGGAGCTCCTCCAACAAGCCGGGGACGCGATAAGGTGTTTGCAGGGAACGTCCTGGTTCGATATCATCACTGTGTCCGTAAGAGGTCGCGCTCAGGCCTTCCCCGAGCATAAGCCAAGGAAGGACGCGATGCTTAAGAAGTGTTGTCATCCACAATCATATCATCTTTGACGCATCACTCGATGCTAATGCAGGTTGTAATTTGTTTGATGGCGGTGGTTGTTGTTTCCAGGTGCCTGCAGATCTTGGCGGACGCCACAACCCCCAAGCCGCTGTACAAGGCACTACTGATTGATCGCCGAGCCCCCAAATAGAAGCATACAATACGTTTCGAATCTTATTGAGTTCATCTCAAACTCCACCCCGGCCTGCTAGCTTTGTTTTTACTCAGCGGTTATCCATGCGACTGCCTGCACGATTATTTCCGCCCTCTGCGTGCCACTTTGGCATGGACGTTTCGTTCTCGTTTGTGCAAAAGGCGTTCGATTGCCGAACATTGTCTCAGATCATTTTCGAACGTTATGTACTTGTATCCGCTTGAACTAGTGTCTGTAAGGACCTTGGGTTTGTATGAGTACTCAGTACAAACCGAGGATTATGCTCAAGATTGATACATTGTAAGTAGTACCGGAACGATAGATGCGAAGTGATCCATTGAGAGGAAACACAGACCAAGGAACAAGATACTTGTTTTTTCAACAAATATTTGACAGATACAATCCTAGTCCCTGGCTGAAGCTAAGGAGCCAGCTAGGGCAGGCCTCTCAGTCAGTTAGCGCTACCCGGGCTGGCGACGGAACGGCAGCTCAACTTCTGGGGATAAGACAGGGATATGGACAGCCCTGCAGATCTCGCAGACTACCTCTCACCTAAGCTTAATTGCTTGACGTCAACGACAACATCATTATCTCGACAAGCATCACTTAACCGCACGGTATGCAAAATTGAGTTTGACTGCTACCAGTGAATTAGATCAGAGTTGCCTAGTTCAGAGCTGAATGAAGCAACGTTCTTGAGAAAGGGATTCTTTCATCCATAGAACAATGGCTAGCATCCGAGGGATGTTTTCCCACTCCAACCTCATTCCATACAATTGTTAGGATATGGATATTAGTTGCAAAACCCTGATCCCATCTAACGCCAGAAAGGATGACTATTTACGCACGAAGATTGAGAGCACGTGCGTAAACAAGTATACTTCTAGAAAAAGTACACTGACTTCGTATCGGGTTTGGTGTGTCGATGACAAAGCCTTGTTTCCGGGTTGAATCGAAGGGGAATTACGGGCTCAATGTTTGTGAGTTGTCTATCGTTTCGGGCTAAGCATGGTTTGTAGAAAGTCATTAATCTCTTATAATTTGGTGCCTTGATGGTCGCTTATTGTGCTCGAGGGTGGTCCAGCTAGTAAGGAACCCGCATGTTGCGATATGGATGGCAGCCCATAGCAAAAGGCGCCCGCATCACCGTGAGGCACCCGCATTACAATTCAGCCGCAGCCGTCGAGGCTTCGTCGATCATGTCACATCTTGCTTGAGTCAAGATAGAGATGTGTCAGATTTCCGTGTCGAGTTTCGGCTATATGAATAACATTGAGCTGCATATAGGACCCATGACAAGGTGTCGCAGTCTAGTTGTGAAGGGATTGGTTCGTTCTATTCTTGCCTCGACAACAGTCGCTTGACCTCCATGTCAGCGCATTCATATTGACAGAGTTGAGCGCTCAACCTGCCGATGCGTTATGGTCATCTAGGACAACAGCCAAACAAGTTGGACTGTTGTCGCCTTCTTTTGCTCATGGAACTCTCATGGAGCTAACGATGTATTGTAAACAAGTAAGATGCTATTCGTTTTAAGCTCTTTTGGGACACTCTCAGAGGAAACATACCAATTAATTAGATCAGTAGCACTCTTTAAAGGGTAGGTATACCAGGGAAAGGGGTAGCGTGCGTAGTGTATCGTTCATTGTTGTACAGCAGGTGCAGGCAAATCGGACTGGCGACCTGGGGGTTGTGTAATTCACAAAGGTTTTATTTCCAATCCCAAAACTCTAGTAGTATATGTGATCAAGGCATGAGGGTTATATTCAGCAACTAGTACACAATACGGAACTGTCGTCTATTCGGAACCTAGGTTCTGGCATTAGAAGCATCGCCAACATGTCAATTGAGCAATAGCCAACTTCGAGAGTGACCAATGACATATCGAGACCGGTGGAGGGCATGTTTTCGCCTCGAGCGAGCTTCCTCTACTGTAGGAACGCGCAAAGGGGAGAAGGGCAGGGCGTGTGCATAGTCAACCTTCAACTGATGCCGAAATGGCCGAGTCCTGCTACACTCAGTTTACCCACATCTCCCAGTGGACATCAAAGGGCTTGGCAGAGGCTTGGTATTTTTGAGAGACAAGGATGCCACAGTTCTAACTTCAACAAAATGAGGCTCAGAAAAGGTAATGTGGCGGTGAAGGGTAATGACAAGCTTCTTTCTTCGTAACGCACCCCGCCCTACACCCCACACAAAGGAAGGTTGATGTGGCTAGACAGATGTATGCGGCCGCCTTATTTCTTCTGCAAAAAGGTAGCAGTAGGTAATTTCAAGATGTGACCCTTCGAGGAGCCCGGCGCGGGACGGACAGAGCGGGAACGCTGGCTTCAAGCTTCATCACTAATTACTCAATTGTAGCTAAAGAAGTCTAGCTCCACGCGATCACAGCGTCCTATGTATTTAGTGAGGTACCCGTCGACCCAACCCATGAGATCACAAATACAGGGTGGTGATAATACCATACTCTTATTACATGGTCTTTCTGGAGTCTTTCTTTCCGCCCTAATTGATCCGCATGGTTTAAAGTTCCTGGCTCTTACTCACTATATCAATGAGAACTCCAGCCACAAGCATGCACCCTGTGATATCCGTCCGTGGTGGTAGATAATGGTAATAGATAGGCAAATATATAATGTGCCAGCCGTACGTAAACGGCCTTCAATGACGTGTATTAACGCAGGTCTCTTTACTTGACTGCCTTTCCCTGAAACTCGTGGGAGACCTTGGGTGGTCGCGTGGTTCGCTATGGTCCGCGACTCCGGGCGAACCATTACTTCAGGAACCACTTCGCGCCCAAACTAACCTGTGGCGTTTTTACTCCCGAAGGCACATCGAATTTGAGGGAGTATCTCATAAATTGAACACTTTTTGCTATCAAAATGTCAGACGCTGCAATACTTACTTGTAAACCACCCCAACCAGCATGCTGCCGCGTACTCTCCAAGAGAACTGATTCCAATGATGGACATAAAAGGAGCTGGGCCCCGGGGCCTCAAAGACATTGCTTCATACTCAGTACCAAGCATTCATCCCTTCTTCAGACACTACATCCTATTCATCAACAAGCACTCAACACCCCATCAATCCCTTGTTCTTGTTCTTCTGCTTCTTCTTCTTCCTCATCATGGCCGACTCGCGTGATACCCAGGTCCCTCCTGGACAAGACTCTATACACCAGAGCAATACACTTTCACCACAGATGGAACGATGGTTGCGGGAGAGCACGAAGGATATGCCTTTCTATCTTCGTAGTTCGATTCCTGTATCTAGCACGCAGACTCAGACCACGTCCAACACAAGCCCATACACTGCTTCCCAAAACCCTGCTGCTCAGGGAAGTGCCGAGTAGGGTTCCTGTCCGAGACCCAAGAGGTATTGCCCCGTGACTGCTCGCACGAACGTCCGATATATACTGACATGACACAGTGACACACGACCATCTCTCAATCGAAAGAGTCTTCATTTACCCCCTGGGTAGCCAACATGAGCTAGTACGATCTGATTGGACAGCCCACCCCGACCCAAGCGATGCCAATAAGACGAAGCCTTAATATACAGCCCATCCTGAGCCAAGCAATGCGAATGCAGGAGAGGCCATGGGAGCAATACATGCTGTGCATGATGCGTCGATGACTCTGAGACATGTTGAACTCTGAAGGGTCATCTTGGTCTGTGTATGGTCAGCAACTTGAACATATCAAGACATGAGAACATATTGTGAATGAGAGGGTATATCAGGAAACTTATAAAAAAATCATAAAAGTTTTTCAAATACAATCTAGCGTGAAGTTTTTAAGTCATCATTTGGGAGGGAGTGTAGTAAAAGAAATGTCAAAGCTTACCCAGGTCGTAGTCCGTACAGTAGACGAGCATTTCGGCTCGTCATGCAGCCCTCGTGAATGTTTCAATCCACAACTCAACCTTTACGGCCGAGCAAGACCAGGCGACGCATTCGACCCGAAAATCTGACCAAGCGCTCCCTGAATTTGACCAACAAGAGCTTTGATCATGCCCTGAGGCTTGCCTCTTCCATCGAGCCCATGAACAGGCTCTGTTCCCATGGTAGGAAGGACATTATCGCCAGCAGACAAACTGACGAAAAGCGCAAATGGTACAAGCCACACGCAAAGACCAAAGTACGACGCGATTTGCGCAAAGCTAGGAACATCCGCCTTGTCGTAGAACGAGGTTCGCTGGTACGCGCGCGATTGGGCATCGGAAAAGTGTCGGAACCATACGTAGTGGTTGACCAGGACAAGAACTGCGCTTGTTAGACAGAGTTCGTGCCTCTAAAGAGATCGACATACCACAAGATGCCAGGAACAAAGGATCTGTCAGCTTCACAAAAGGAAAGCGTCGCATATTCCCCAGATAGACAACATGGGATACAATCGTCAAGATAGTAGCCCAGAAAGGGAATCCATCAACCAGCCAAAGAATCAACTGAACCACAATGACGCTGTAGATGAGACGCGTAAGGAATCGCTTCGCAATGACGCTATGCTCCTCGACGAGTTCCGACAAGTAATAAAGACCTGATGCAATAGCGAGAGTCAAAAAGCAGAAACCCAGGAGGGTTCCTACGTAGCCGACAAGAGGTAAAATCCACATGGTTGCTGTGTTTGTGCAAGCAACTGATCGTCAAAGGCTCACATGTTGGGAGAGAGAGGTTTCCCAGGGAGGGGAGATACGTAAGTATTCAGGTTTCAGAAAGGAGGCAGAAAAGGGACACGTTTTTGCCAATCATTTTTCATCGATTTCGGAGGTGTAGTAACTCCGGGCCGTTACCCCACCATCGAGAAGTCTTATCGATACCCAAGAAATTTCTACCAAGAATATCGGCGATAAGGTGCGCTGCAGGCTTCTTGACCCATTCGTTTTGTTGCACGCTGTTATTCGAATCGGAAACACCTAAAGTTGAAGTTGCGACACATTATTCACCATGTCTCGTCCTGAGGATACCCTGTATGTCCCTCCAACCCCGCCATGCCCCTCAAACTCACACAAACAGCGCGGCCGACGTCCACTATGACGATACCGAAGCACGAAAGTACACAACAAGTTCTCGAATCCAGAACATTCAAGCCTCAATGACAAGACGAGCCCTCGAACTTCTCGATCTCAAGTCCCCATCCCTCATTCTCGACATCGGCTGCGGTAGCGGTCTTTCCGGCGAAATCTTGTCTTCTGTCGAACCTGAAGATGGCGGCCCTCACACTTGGATTGGAATGGACGTTTCACCTTCGATGCTGGATATTGCGCTGCAGAGAGATGTGGAGGGTGATTTGATGCTGGCAGATATTGGACAGGGCGTTCCTTTCCGAGCGGGTACTTTTGATGCGGCGATTAGTATCTCTGCTATTCAATGGCTCTGCAGTGCTGAAACAAGCGACACATCCCCCGTCGGTCGCCTGACTCGCTTCTTCAACGGTCTCTACGCCTCTCTCAAGCGCGGCGGTCGCGCAGTCTGCCAATTCTATCCCAAAAACGACGACCAGCGACAAATGATCACCCAAGCGGCCGTGAAAGCCGGTTTCGGCGCCGGTATGCTCGAAGACGATCCCGGCACCAAGAACCAGAAGCTGTACCTCGTCCTCACCGTCGGCGGAGGCGATTTGACCAAGAAGGGTGGTGATATTACTGGTGTTGTTGATGGTATGGATGGAGTTGATGTTGAGGATGCTAGACGGTCTATCAAGACTCATGCTCCGAATATGTCCAAGGGTAGCAAGGCTTGGATCGTCAAGAAGAAGGAGCAGATGGAGCGTAAGGGAAAGATTGTCAAGTCGACGTCCAAGTATACTGGACGAAAGAGACGGGTGCAGTTTTAAGCGTGTGTTTGCATTGTACGGCGTTGGGGAAAAGTTTAGATCTCAATTTGACGGATACCCTTTGATGACCTGTATGGAGGTGAAGTGACATTGAAGCTCACTTGGGTTGACTATGAATGCTTAGCTGTGGATTCGTTTAAACAGCTGGCCAGAAAGCCTCCTCTGCCTCCAAAACATCATGCCACTTCCCTTGAACCCTCTTAAACAGCTTCTCCTTATCCTCACCCTTCTCAACAACCTTTGCAACAGCATCATCAATGATCTTTCCCAGGTCATCCACAAAGTCAACAAACTCCTTACAAGTCCAATTGTTAATGAACTCCTTCCTCACAGCTCCACCATCAGCATCATTGGTTCCATCACTATCATCAAGCTGCGCCTTTGCCCACGACCAAGCATCCAAATAGCACTTTTCCGTTCCCCAATAGATCACAGCAGCTTCAAGCCAAGGAAGCACATCCTTTTCGTTAGGCGCTACAGAGGCGTACAGAGCTTCCCAACGACGAAGACCTTCGAGTTTGGTACTTGACTGAACCTTTCCGTCCTTGGTTTCGAGGTTGATGTTGATACCGTACTCGAAAGCCGTGTTGATAAAGAACTTTTCCTCTCGGCGGATATTCACAAGAGCAGCGACAATCCAATCCAGAAGTTGTGTTGCAGAGTCGGGCTTTACATTCTGCTGTACTGTATCAGGATACTGGAGAAAACTGAGCAGACGACCGAGACCGCGACAGTAGCTGTGGATGTAGAGACGGTCATTTGCGAGCCAGCGGCCTAGGATGTCTTTTGAAGCTTTGCCATTGCCTGCCAGACGGAGGAATTCTGACTGGGTTGCTTTCTTGTAAGCTTGCTCGTCTGAGGCGAGAAGCTGTTTTGTCAAAGAGTAGGACATGGTGATGAGGTTTGATAATGAAGTTATTCCCTCAGTGCGAATGCGGAGATGCCATGCCTTCAAGGTTCATGGTGTGATGTTGGCGGATGACAATTATGTCATGCCGGTCTAAAGTTGTTCCTTATGCATGAGTTACGGAGTACAATGGTCTGAGTGATGTTTCTTGAGATCATGATGTTTATAAGTTGTTGCTTGGCTTGAGTGGTTATTGGTTGATTGGTGTAGACACCGAGCCGCACATCTGTAAGCCATCCTTGGGCTGTCGGCATATAATACGAAGTTGTGTACGGATAAACGGCACGGGCTTCATTAATATTTATGAATTGTTTGATGCAATTGAGGTTACCCTCCGAGTTCTCTTCAGTCAGCGCTCGTATTATCTCGCTTATATAATTAAACGTCTATAAATGAATCTATGATGTTAATGTAAATCACTCACATATGTCCGGATAATCGGATACTCCAATAAACCGCCCTTGATGCCATGCAATTTCCTTGTCGGCGTTTATCCATGCCAGCCATGCGACTCCCATCCCTTCTCTTGGCAAACGTTGACGTTGTCGATCTGATCCCGTCTCTCCTCCCGCTAATCGAAGCCAAGTATCTTAGCCAAGCACGCGACGTCCGTCTGTTTCTTCTTTTGCTTTTGCTGTCAATTCAGGTGATCGCCGTTATCCCGGTCATAGCAAAGGCCCTTTAATCTGGGGAACAGGGGTAATTAATTAACTAAGTCTCCCCACAAATAAGGGGGACTAACACTTTTAAGGGACATGTTGCGCAAAAGGAAAGTTATTTTGGTAGATTGCTAATGTTTGAGAAATGGAATGGGTAGTTTCAGTTTGAGCAATTCCTTATGGCCTGTTCTTTCGCATGGTGAAGCATCGCGAGATTTGTATCATAGAGTAGCAGAAAAACAATTCCTTGTGGGTGATCAAACCTTCAGAGTAAGATGCAGGAACGCGTAACATGATGCGACAGAGACCCATCTAGATTCCAGAACTTCGTATCTCGGTCTTCCATGGACCCGGAATCAATTTCGTTGACAGGACCCCTGGTTTGTTATCGGAGGATCCATGAGCCGTCACGAGGGCCATTCACCAGGGGCTGACCTTCTGAAACATGGAGCATTTTGGTGGTCCAGGCTTGAACAGTCCCTGGACCACCACTGAAGCATTGCATGTCATTGAACGCAGGCGCAGGGCAATTATCGTGGCTTTTTATTAATCATTCTCTCCTACCCTTCACATGCCCTCCCTTTTTCCTTCCTATGTTTTGCTCCATTCTTTTGCAAACTTGGAACTTGACTTGTTTTGTTACAACTGAATCAAATTTGTTATACATCGCTTTGCTGCTTCTTAACTATTAATTCTTATTTTGTCGCTTCACTATGATTCTCGACCCCGTTGCTGCCGAGAGATGGCACATTACTCGAGTCCTCCCCCGCGAAGCCAAGGAAACTTGTCGCAATGACATGCAATCAAATACCTGCGAGAAACCCGGTCTGTCAACAGGCGAAATACTTGTCGTTCTTCTCATAGCAAGGTACTTCCCCTGCCTCTTTTTCTTGGCGCAAACTGACTCTTTAGTCTCGTCGCTGTAGGCGGTATCATAGCACTTCTATGTGTCTTCCACCGTCGCAAACAACGTCTCGATAAACTCGAAGACATCAAAGGCGTGCAAGAACTCGACGACTATGGCCTCGGCCCTATCAAACCAAGATTGCCTACTGCACCACCGCCGACGTACCAGGAGGGAAAACATGCGCCTGCGCCTACGACTACTGATGGAAATTGGCAACGGACGAATCGAAACTCGACAGACTCACTAACACCGTCGCTACGCCAAGCCATGGGCGTGACGCCGCGCGATACGCTGGCCAATAGTTAGAGGATGCGGCCGACGTTTGACGATCACTTATGCATGTACCGCAACGCATGAAAAATGGTTGTTTCGAGATGCGCTACGGCCACGATGTGGTAGTGACCAAAAAGAGGTCAACATGTTTTTTACGATGGCGTTATGGGATGGCGTACTTGGTTTGGGGAATGGATGAGCGATTCTGCTGGTCGGTTTGGGCGGCTTCTCTTTTACTTTACATCTGTGTAGCGACAGTCTCCTTGGAAATTCAAGAATAATTGATTCATGATGGTCAATGTTGGATGTGGTCTGTAGATGTAAGTGCGCGGCTAACGTTGGCTATTATGGCATCTCTACTGCAGCTTGCGATGTCGTCTTCATTACTCACCTCTACGCCTCCAAACCAGGCAAACAGTCGCATCGTATGCTAAACAACAGCAAAACACTGCTACAGATCTTGACATCATGAAGTCACAGCCGAGAACATAAGAGACGAAATGATTTAACCACTTTGTGCCTGCCCTTAGGCAAGTTTATTTCTAGCACCCTAAGCATTAGGCTGACCCAAACCTTTTTGTCAATAGACTTTGTTGGATGCAAGAGCTATGGGATCCAAGTTTGACTTCCAAGTTTGACGAGAGACATAAAAGCTGAGCTTTTCCAGTCAAAGCAAATATTTTCTCTATCCAACACAAACATCAAACATCGCAACCTTTTCTGTTTATCCCCAGACATCATGTCTTCTCAACGATACCTGGAAATCTTCAACCCAGCTCCCAAACCATGCGCCAACTTTCACCAGTTCTCTCGATTCCCAGCAGAGATTCGATGTCTCGTCTGGGAACAAGCGCTCAGTCACGAGCGATGGGTTCGCGTTCATTTGGAACAAGGCTTCTGGGACAGCGACATGGAGGATGAACCACAACCGGACTATGATATTTATGTGCACATTAACACGAAAATCAGCAAGCTATTTCGCACCACACGCGAGTCACGACGTGTTGCTTTGCGCTTCTATCGAGTTCAACTGCCCTGTCGATACTTCCTCCAATCAACACATGGTGGCCATCCTGGAGAGGATGGGGAGAAAGGCATCCTCTACCTCTGCCCGGAGCTGGATACATTAAGCGTCTCTACCATGTATAGGATCGGGTACCTTGCTCGTGACATCTTGGATCTAGATCCTCGTTGTGTTGGCCTTGTTAACCTCGCGGTGAACATTAGAACCTCGGTACTAGGGGCAATCGAGGTGACGGGGGAGCCAGGGACAAGCAGGCAACTTGTCAAGCAGGCTCTGTCAAAGGTAGAGCGTTTCGTCATAATGGAAGATATGGTACCACGAACTTGGACTGGTGAATATTACTCATCTCCGACCCAATGGCGCAGCAGCTCAGCACACCGTGCTTGTCCTCTCAACGGGAATACCGTCGCTTTCGAACGTCTTCAGTACGATCCTCGGCTTGAGGAGGAACATTTGATGAGTGTATACACTGGGGAATACGATGCAAGGGTAGGATTCAGCGAGTTCGAAGAGCTACTCACTGAGCTCGACGTCACACACAACCACGAGGTTGATTATCGAATGGGCCTATGCAGTCGAGGTTGGCAGGATGGCTTACCGCATGGAACTGACAGGGTTGCTGCTGCTGAATGGCTACGAAAGGATGAAGAGGCGTTTGAGTCAAAATTGCAATACTTGAAGCAAACCAACGAAGACTATGAGAGATCCAGGGGCAGGAAGTTACCCCCGAACTATGGCAATTACGACCAACATCTTGATGAAGTACCTCAGCAGGCAATTGGATTCTGGCTGTTTCCTTTGAAGAGCTTGGGAGTAAAGCCAGGTAAGAAGAGGTCGCGCAGCTTCGGGGAGGATAAGCATAGGTTTCGTGACATGAACAAACATCCCCCAGAGTTGTGTTTGTCGTTGATGCACTGATTACACGTTTGGGAGAGGGTAGTGCATTCAGAAAACCACTGAGAGTAAATCATAGAGGAGAATAAAAAAATCCTAACCTTACTCAATACATGTCCACCCATTCAGAAGCCAGACCGCAAGTGAAGCAGATGCACTATCGCGTCCTAATCAAGACCTTCTGTATATAGTTATACGTGCTTCATATAATTGAGTTTTGACACTTATGATTCACTGTTAAGACTTCTCCCAAATATACAATCAGCATGACTGACAATTATAACTCTGGCTTGTGTGGGGTGTTATAAGGGGGAGCCTTGGCCTTGATACAGAGATAAAATATTTTGATGACTTAAGAGTATTTTAGACTATATTTTAGACGCCTTACCTTCTTTACCTAAGGCCATGTTACGATTCTTCTAATTTTATCATTTATCATTAGGAATTTTGATCTCGTCTACTTCCCACGCTGCAGAGTTACGACGTCGCCTCTACTATCGTACCTTGACCCTCAGTCCTGGACATAGCCAATTAAAGTCAACAGTAATACTGCGGTGTAACCTAGCTATAACCTAACTCAAACTGAAGTGAGGGCTGCAAGACCTGAGTTTGACTTCTCAAGGTTTGACGACAAAGGTATAAGAACTGAGCTTTTGCCAGTTGAAGCAAACATTCTATCTGCTTGAGATAAACATCGCAACTTTCCTCCTTCCCATGACTTCTCAACGCCACTTGGACATCTTCAATCCTGCTCCTCAGCCATGCCTTGACTTCCACCAGTTTCGTCGATTTCCTAGAGAGATAAGATGTCTTATATGGGAGCAAGCACTCAGCCACGAACGGTGGATTCGTATCAATTTACACTTACCGGAGAATTGGAGGACCCTTCCTCGTCCTCGTCCTCATGATATGTATGAGATCAAGGTCTACCGGCAGTGGAAGATTAGCAAGCTATTTCGAACCACGAGCGAATCACGCCGTGTAGCACTGAGCTTCTACCGGGTCCAACTCCCCTGTTGGTACAGTTGGGGCAAATACTGGACCACATCCAAGAAAACCACACTCTACATTTGTCCCGAATTAGATACACTAGAGTTCGATAACACGCATCACTTTGAGTGCTTTGCCAATGACGTATGGACCCACGACCGTCTTCGCGTTGGTGTCGTCAACCTTGCTATGCCTTCCTGTGATCTCTTCCTTCACAAGACCTGGCGACTCGGTGGGAAGAACAAGGCCCTGTTCAAGGAGACTTTATTAAGAATTGAGCGCTTTATTGTGATGGAAAGGGGATCGCGGATGGGGTGGCTCAACCGCGATAAGACTTCATCGATAAGAAGTCCATCCTACCACGGCTGTCCTGTCTATGGCAATACATTCGGTTTCGAACGACTTCCGTGCGATCCCCGACTAGGCGATGAGCATCTGAAGCGAATATTCACGGGACCATATGATCCAAGAATGCATTTCCACGAATGGTTCAGGACACTCAAAGCCCTGGGTATCAAGCATAACCACAAGGTGGCCTATCAGTTTGGTATGTGCATCGAAACAGATTCACGTCACGATGTCCACCAAGGTCTATATACGAATGATCGAGATGCCGCTGCTGAATGGGTCCGCGAGAATGAACAGAGATTCCAGTCAATGATGCGGGAGAAATTCACGAGAGAAGGCATGGAGTATCCTCCCCTTGAGGATCAAGGCCTTGAACAAGCGCCTCAGCAAGCAATCGGTTTCTGGCTATTTTCACTGGAAAGCATCGCTCCATTGCCCAAGATCGGCACATCGTTCAAGAGATACAGCCAATGGAGTACCAAGTGCAAACGACACTTTGATTACAGCAGGTTTCTAGACATGACACAACATAAACCGGAGCTGTGTCTGTCGTTCATGCACTGATTGTATGTTTGATAGCGGCATGAATCACAATCAAATGTTGCCATGGATCACGGTTAACCGGCGCTGTTGAATGGCTTCCCGCGATAACTACGGTGAAGGCCATTAAACCCAGGCGGCGGTATAGTTTTAGGTTAAGAAGTCTAAGATATGGTCTGAGGAGGTCTAAAGTCATCAAAATATTTCGTCTCTTATGATATTAAAGGCTAGTACTGCTATCCGATATAATTGATAGACACTTCATAACTCGGTTCATCCTACCACCCAACCCGGTCAACTCATACGTATCTAGTAAGCGAAGAATAGAGTAGCCTCCGAGTCAGACTGTCTGATCTTTCTGTTGGCTCTAATAAGCATCCACTTGAGAATCCAGACTCCGGCGATACACGCCACGGCGAACGCTGCACTCGCGGCCAAAGGCATGATATATCGAGGCGCATCAGACTTTGGCCACAGATAAGGAGTCCAAATGAGTGACAGCGTAGCACTCACGTTCGCTAGAGCAAGAGCAGAAGCTTTCTTTTCCTTTGTTTGACCGCATGTGTTTCCAACCCAAGCGAGGAGGATGGAGTTGACACCATAAGTTCCAATAGTGAAAACACACATCGCAAAGTATCGCGCACCAACATTCATCGTAGCACAGGCAAGGACGAATCCAAATGTAGCAACGATTTTGGAAATGGTAATATGCCATGTGCTTTCGTTGAAGTGACCTGAAGACTTGGCCCAGAGAATCGACAGGGCGCCGGCGATGAGGAATGGTGGACATGTCAACACCAGAGTAATCGTCGTATTGAAACCCAGCGTGTTGACGATAGTTGGAAAGAAATTTTTGAATCCGTTTGTCGCGAGATGGAGATGTTGGAGGACGATAAATACCCAAACTTTCGGGTCGACGATGGCTTCGCGGAGGCCGCTCCAGGGGTTACCGTTTCCTTTCTCACCAACTGTATCTCTCGCAACACGATCATGAGCAAGTTGTCGCTGCTCAGGAGTGAGCCATCGTGTCGTCAACGGCGTATCAGGAAGAGTAAAGCAAGCTACAATAGCAACAGCAAAAGTCACAGCACCCTGGAGAATAAACAACCATCTCCAACCAGACAAACCCGCCATACCATCCATCTTAAACACACCCGCCGCGATAAGTCCCGCAAAAGCAGAAGCAAGAACATTTCCAGAATAAAGGATCGAAATTCTGGTCGCAAGTTCCTTTCTCGTGTAGAATGTACTCAGCATGTACAGCGCACCAGGATAATACGGAGCTTCGACGACACCGAGGAAGAAACGCGTGAGAACGGCGCCTTTGTAATCTTTTACTACGGCGGTGAGGGAACTGACGACTGCCCATGCCATCATGAAACCGCCCATGTAGTAGGATGGTCGGACACGGGTGATGATCATGTTGCTGGGGATTTGGCCTAGGATGTAACCGACGAAGAGGATTGAGACGGATGTGCTGTATTCTGTGCCTTTGAGGCCGAGATCTTCTTCGAAGCCGTTTAGTCGGGCCAGGGTGATGGCGTTGCGGTCGAGGTAGTTGAGCCAGTACATTGACCAGAGGGTTGGCTGTTAAACATTAGAGACTGAACATAGGTGAGAATAAAGGGAGACTTACCATGATCCATCTGTCCAACTTCTTCACCAACTTGATCTCCTCGGGATCAGTCTTCGCTGCAGCACCAGAGTAATCACCATTGCCCTTCTTGTCAAGAACTTCAGCGGAGAATTCTTGATGAGCCGAGTGTTGCTTCTCAGCGTCGAGGGACTCGATATTGTTCTTCTCTTGAGCCGACATGATGAAATCAACGAATGAAGAGAGATGCAAGAGATGGAGAAAGCAAGAATTGAAGCAGGGGGATCCGGCGGTATTTGACTTGATCTCAATTCAGGGAACTTTTTTGTTTCCCCGCAGACTACCCCGGATTTCTAGACCCAAGATCCGGGGATATTGCCGCTCAGACGGGTTGAGGGGATCACCATGTGGGTGGTATTGGAAATATCCTTGTTTCGGCGACGGAGCCGTTGACCGAGTTGAGTGCCAAGACGCCATTGTGGTAGTACTAGATCCATTGAGATGGGAAGATGGTGGTTGGGGATAGGATAAATGTAACCGATCGGGAGATGGATGAATTAGATCTAGACTGATTGGCCGTCATGAATTGACTGTCGGGTTCATAAACATGAGAGAGTAGATTAGTAGTTTATAACAGTTTAGACAACTATTTGACTACTCTACCTTACTACTCTAAGATTTAGAGGAAAGATTTACTGTCAGGAGAATAGTACAATTGATGCAGATCCTAAACATCATATCTTCAGAGACAAGGAAGTGCCAGTGCAACCCCACGAGTCAGGATTAGAGTAACAATTAAGCTTAGTCTCTCCTGCAGAGACCCATAACTCCATCAAGCGGGGGCAAAAACCACTCGACTCAACCATTCATTCTCCATCTTTTTCCTGCTTCATCCTCTCGGCCTCGGCCTCCGAATGCCTTCAAACGCATGCGACAGATGTCACCGTCGCAAAGTCCGCTGCGACAAAATCCAACCCCAATGCGGCCCCTGCAAACGAGCTGATGTAGCTTGTGAATATGCTGTTAGTGAACATCAGCTCAGACGAAGAACTGTTCAGAAGTTGGAGAGGAGGATTAGGGATTTGCAGGCTGATAATGAGAGTTTAAATGCTCAGTTGAGAAGGTCTGAGGGGCCAGTAGATGCCGAGAGAGAGGGTAGAAATGAGAGAGAAGGGAGTGAAAGACAGAGAGACTCTGAAGGACGACAAGAAAGAGCTACGACGAATGGTGAAAGTCCCCTCGATGGAGAAGTCGCTGAAGAAGTCATCCAAATGTCCCTCATCGCAGGAGGAGGCCATCACTTCGTCGGTTCAACATCCGGTCTCCTCCTCGCAAACCTCCTTCAATCACGACCCCAAGCCCCATCATCCCTCAACTCATCATGGAAACCATCCATCTCCCTCACTCCTCAAACGGGATCAGGCCTGCCGCCCAAAACCCTCGCAGCAGAACTCATCAAAGCATACTGCAGCCATGATCATCTCTGCTATCCCTTCCTCTCCACCAAATCCCTCTACAAGTCCTTAGACGCCGTGTACGAAGACCGAGAAAAAGATCCCGTTGATGCGTTTTTCGTGGATATGACTCTCGCGATAGGTACCGCGCAAGTACACAAGTTCAACTGGAATGGTGTTTACGATGCGGAGACACATTATAATCGCGCCATGACGAGATTAGCTGATGTTCTTGCACGAGATGGTATTGAACGGTTACAAGCACTGCTGCTCGTCTGTCAATACAGGATGGGTACCACGTCGAGTAACACTACCACCAGTGTCTGGCATCTGATCGGTGTCGCAGCAAGGACTTGTCTAGAAATGGGTCTTCATCGCGCAGCAACATATACACACGATAAAGATGAAGAAGAAATGGAGACTAAACGTCGCTGTTTCTGGAGTCTTGTCGCGCTGGACAGAGTTACCAGTTTAGCACTCGGAAGACCTTTGGCTCTTCAACTTGAGGATATAGACGTTGATCTACCGCCTTGTTCCACGGAAGAACTTCCAGACGATAGCAGTCCTTTGTCGTCTGCGCCGTACGGTACACCGCAGTATCGCGCCGCAACGTCTGTTTTCGTGCATATTGTGCGCTACAGACTTATCTGCGGAAAGATCATTAATGCGTTACATCGAAGTACAAAACATGTTTCCTTTGCGAGTATAAACTACGAGGAAATGCGTACTGCGCTGGCGAGGGAGTTACAAGAATGGCACACAGAAACAGGCAATCTTCCTCTGGTGAAGAGCGACGCGACAGCTGCTTCACCGGCCAGCGGCTCCAGTTTCCGATGCGAAGAGTGGTATCGTCTTCTATACCATAATGGTATGCTCATGCTTTTCCGTCCGTCGCCTTGTTTGAACGATGCAAGTGTGAATAGTCTTGCTTTGCAGAATATTTACGATTCAGCGCGGGAGGCGATTTTGCTGTATGCTAGTTTGCATCGATCGCGAAAGATGAATTATTCGTGGATTACTATGCATTCTGTATTCCTGGCTGGACTGAGTTACATTTTTGCACTTCGACACCACTTCCAACCTTCTACTCAGCGAGCGAGGTTACATACGACACCTACAATATCCCAAGTCGTCAATGATACACGCGCGTGCTCAAAAGTATTAGTCGCTGTGAGCGAAAGATGGGATTTAGCTAGGAATTGTTCGGATTTGTTTGATAGACTGTCTGATGCGGTGGTAGCAGATGTAGTGGAAGCTTCAACATCCCAGACTGGGATGAATGTGGTAGATTCTGTGCCGTTTGGAGCGGTTGATAATACGTTTAGAGACTGTTTTGGGGATTTACAAAGTTTGGGATTGGATGAGTTTCATAATGATGCTATTTCTCAGTTATCGCAAGAGTGGTTCTTTGGGTTGGATGAGACGCAGAGGTATTATTAGTATATATGATGAGCGAGGTACATAGCTATATAATGTGAAGTATTGAGAGTCACCATGATCTATTCTTCAACAAAGGCTCAAGGTGTCGTCCCGACTTGCCCTGCACTCATAAACGACCATAAACATCTCCATATGCAGGATCATACGACCATGACAAGATGCGAACCATGTCTCATCTGTTCCCAACCCTCGGGATCAAGAAAGATCTAAAGCTTAGGATACCAAAATAAAGTAGCCTAAACACAAGTCTAAACTCTCATAAAATGTTCATATTATTTCATCTCTTAGGCCTTCGGCGGCCAATTCTGATACCCTGTCACCCTACAGTTGCAGTTCGCCGAAGCTAGTGACGGATAATTGGCCGAGCCAAGAGATGGGGTTGATGGACTCGGTCACCGAGACCGAATTACTCCAACCAGTGTAAGTGGATCGTTACTCGGTGCCGAGTCCGTTATCCACAAAACATGACTTCTCATGATGCTGTACCGAACCTCATGAGTACAACATTGTATTTGTGAATTATCGGGTATTACAGAGTATCCATACTCAGAAGATAATATCTCGGGGTAAGATCGACAGGGTGAAAGTGTTTATCACAACTACAACTTGTCTCTCTTAACAACCCCTCACTCATTCTCACTCTGACCATTTCAACTTCATTCGTACACCTCACCTTACACTCCAGTACCAACCGCCGCCATGTTAGACAGACCACCAATCCGCATAGGAAACGTCTCCGGCGCAACAGGCGACCATCCCCATGCAATGTCCCGCATGGTCCGCACAGGCAACGTCAATGTTATAACAGGCGACTGGCTTTCCGAGATGAACATCGCCTGGAACGCAATCACAAAGCAAGAAGTCGATCCCAACCTCGGCTATGAAAATGGATTCTATGAACAGCTTGACGAGTGTCTTGATGATATCATGCAGCGTGATATTCGCGTGGTCACAAATGCTGGTGCGCTGAACACTGATGCGCTTTATGAGAAAGTGAAAAGGCTTTGTGAGGAGCGCGGGTATGGGGATGTGGTTGTTGCCAAAGTGCTGGGCGATGATGTCTCGGAGACGGTCATGAAAGGTGATGTGAGAGTCACACATCTAGATCACCCAGAACAAACCCTCGAAGATTGGGGTTTTGAACCATGTTGTGCAACTGCATACATCGGATGCTGGGGCATCGTCCAAGCCTTACGATCTGGCGCAAAAATCGTCATCTGCGGCCGCTGTACAGATGCTTCTCCCGTCATGGGATCCGCGGCATGGTATCACGGCTGGCGAGAAGATCAATACGAAGAACTTGCCGGTTCTTTACTCGGCGCTCATCTCATTGAGTGCGGTCCTTATGTCGTCGGTGCGAATTTCTCTGGTTTCAAAGATTTTTTACCTGAGCTGGTAGACATTGCTTTTCCTATTGCTGAGATTAATTTGAAGGGACGGTGTGTTATTGGGAGAACGGGTGAAGGTGGTGGACGTGTTACGAAAGAAACTGTTACGGCACAGCTTCTCTACGAACTTCAGGGCCATCTCTACTTGAACCCTGACGTTGTAGCTGATCTTTCGTCCGTTCGCGTCGAGCAAGAGTCAGAGAATAGAGTCTCTGTATCTTGCGTCAAGGGTCTTCCCCCTCCACCAACAGCAAAGGTCATGGTTGCTGCAAAAGGAGGATTCCAAGCAGAAGCAACCTTTTACATCAACGGTCTCGACGTCGCTGAGAAAGCAACCATGATGAAGAATCAATTGGCGCATATGTTCAAGGATTCCAAGTTTAGTCGACTTAGCATTGAGTTGTACGGTACACCTGCTGAGAACCCGACTTCTCAACAAGCAGGTACTGTGTCACTCCGTGTTTTCGCTCAGGCGCGAAAGAAGGAGGATATCGATGCGTCTAAGTTCAAGGTTCCTATTTATGCTCTTCGCATGCAAAGCTATCCCGGGTATCACATGAACTTGGATTTCAGAACCATGGTTCCCAAGCCTTTTATGGAGATGTTTCCTGCTCTAATGCCTGTCTCAGCGATCGAGCACCGTGCTGTGATGAGTACAGGAGAAACATATCCCATCGCCCCTCCTACACAAACAGCTAAATACCCCATCGTACGACCAAGCACAGAAACTCATGGACCTGTCGACATGCTCACCTTTGGTCCGACCGAGTATGCACCACTGGGCAGTATCGTGCACGCAAGATCCGGCGACAAGGGTGATAACTCCAACGTTGGCTTTTTCGTTCGACACGACGATGAATATGCTTGGTTGAGAAATCTTTTGACTGTTTCTAAGCTGAAGCAGTTATTTGGGGATGATTGGTTCAAGATGAATCCTGATCGACGTGTTGAACGTGTTGAGTTTGCTGGTATCAACGCTGTGCATTTGTAAGTCAAGTTTCTCTGTAAAAGTGGTCATGCTAATTTGTGTGTAGCCGAGTTTTGGATAACTTGAATGGTGGCATTGCCTCCTCCGATAGGATTGATGGATTAGGGAAGGGCATTGGCGAGTATTTGAGAAGTCGGTATGTTGATGTACCAAAGGCGTTCCTGGATAGAGGAAGGATTTAGAGACATGAGAAAAGAATCTTTGCAATCACAAGTTGAACTCATACAAACAAAGACACTTGAGGATTCGACCTGCTTAAGTAAACAAGATGTCATCCACGAGGCATCAGCAGACGAGAAGGGATAGACTTCAGGCACCTCCTCTACACACCTATCAGCAGCCTTCATCCAAACCTAACCTCGCCTCTGTCTACCCTTTATATACTGTAACAACTTAGTATACCCTCGAGGAGAGTGGTACAGTGGAATCCGTCCTAGAACCTAGGGAACTCTTTGAAATTGCGAACCTAAAACTTCTATCACCCACTGCGCCACTCTCCTTTTTGCTCGTGTTCGAACGCCGGAAATTACAAAAACGATCACTTCCGTGCCCCCCTGGAATACTAAAATAACATGTATGATCTTCAGCGACGTAGCTACACACTGAAATCACTTGTGAGATTTAATCCTGACAAGGGGCCTTCGCTTGTAGGGAACGTCGTGTTTGAATCTATGCATATTAGACTAGTTAGCATTCTTGTTACTTGAGACTATTCAGCTTCCTTTTTCGACGTTCTCTCTACTACCCCTATTTAATGTCTTGTTCTTCTTGGGTAGGAGTAGGATTTAGAGACATGAGCAAGAGGCCTTGCAATCACAAGTTGAACCTGCCTGGATAAACAATATGGCATTGGAGTATCAGAAGCCTAAGGCGACGAGCGTATGACAGACACAAACTTTAAGCATCTACTCTGCACACCGATTAGCAACCTGCATCTAAACCTAATCTCGTCGAGCGCAATCGTCAGCGAAGTAGCGATACACTTTAATCGATGTGTAGATTTACTCCTGATTCTGGGAGCCTTCGCTCATACAGAGTGCAGAGTCCCAAGTTCGAATCTACACACACAGAAAAGAAATGCCCCAAGCACACACCAGAGGATGATGGCTTTTTTTTAGTCTTTTCTTGGTCTTTTGTCTTTTTATTGGCGCTTTCTATACTATCCCCCTTAAACGTCTCAGTCGCTGGTTCTTCGAAAAGCCTCTCCATCAAGATATCCGGCGGCATTTGCAAAGGCATACCAAAGAAGATGCACAACACGATATGAGGAAGGATACTCAGAAGATGTATCGCGTAGAGTCTGGTACTCTCAACGCCGATGAAGAGGTTCAATTATCGCACCTCTTGTTCGGGAGGCAGTTTTCCAGACTCCTCGGGGTAGAAGTTGAGAGTCTCATCAATCAAGGCAAGTCGAGGCTCGTCTGGAGGTAGAAGACTTACCATGGGCTCTTCCAATCATTGGAGACTTTGGAAATTCAGTAGAGGGAACGAATAAGTAAGAAAATGGACGTGTGAGAGGTTGAAGATGGAAGGGAAGAGAGTTACTGTTGAGTAGTGAAGACTTGAGGATAGGTGCAAGAGAGTCAACAAGAAGTAAAGAACTCAGCAAAGCGATCAGCAGTCGTATGTAAGAACAAGACAGACAAGTTTATAAGGCCTGGCTCTCACTGTACGAAGGATATTAGGAAGCTCTATAGAAAGGAGTAGAGGCAGAGGAGACAGTTTATAGTTCTGCAGAGCGTATAAGTGGTAAGCCTAGAATATCTAGCGCTAGTACTTTAAAAGGGCAAGATCGGCAGAATGCGACAGTCTGATCGGCTCAATTGTGGCGGTGATTCAGAGTCTCATAATAGTACTCCTTGGAATAGCAGAGATATAAATGACCACCACAGCTTGACCTCTTACTCTCTGTTAGTCTCTATCCTGCAGCTCCTTTCCTCCATCTATAAATTCGTTCCTCTGAACCTTGACTCTACAGTAACGTCTTGACTCCTACAACACCACTTCCTCAATCAGTGAGGATATGAAATGATACTACAGTCTACGGTATTGCTGTCTCGCTTTTAGTCTTTGCTTCTTCACTCTATCACACTTGACTCCTCAACAATTCAACTCTGTCGCGATACTGCTTTCATTCGAGCTTCATTCAGCTACAATGGCTCCCAAGAAGACTGTCCCAGCGAAGTCTACCGCTACAAAGACTCCTGGCAAGATCCTGATCGCAAGAGAGAAGGGTGTCAACCGAATGGCGTGAGGACAGAGGGCTCCTTGGCATAGAGCCACCCAGTGTAAGTTTCCTAGACCTACTTTGATCCATATCTAACACCTTTCTAGAGAGATGGGACGAGGGCTCTGCGAGAGCTCGTCTGTCGACCAAGCGATTTAGCTACCATTCGGACCGGTTTACCCTTCTTTGCATGAAGATCGTCAAAGAGCAGAACCCCACCACCTTTCGCTCAATGCATGTGGAAAGAGAGGCGATTAACGCTCTGCAGAAGAGCGCTGAGAAGCATCTCATCTCAGTTCTGGAAGGTATATACTCCATCTTGTTGCTTTACTGAGCAAATACTTACTTATCTTAGGTGTAGCTGTAGTTGCAGAGCATGCGGGTCGAAAGGCCCCCATCAAGAAGGACTTTGAGACTCTGGAGAGCCTCCGCCCTTATGTCGGATAGGCTCTATGTGCTCAGGTTGGGGGCAGGCTAATCAAGGCCCCATGAAGAACTAGGGACTGAGACGTTGAATGGGGATAGCATAAGGAACAGTCTCAATAAATGCTCACTAGTCCAAATCGATTGTTACAATCACTTGTTGTAATCAATTTACCTACACTCAACAATAGCAACAGGAACTTGCCTCGTCTTTCTGCTACCAACGTCTTGTGCTGATCTTAACTTACATGAAAGGACCAACTTATTTCGTCTCTTGTACTCTCGCTGGTTACTTCTTCTGACACTCAACGCCTATTCGTCAATTGACTAGACCACTCTTCGGTGCAGCTCCAACCGAGGTTGTAACAGCTCGGTCTCCACGATGAAAGCGCTCGCCAAGATCCGACAAATGCGCGCAATCCATCAATTCGAGCATCTTTGCGCTGATATGGGACTGGGAATACGATACGAATTAAAGATCATTCTAAAAACAAACAGTACACAGAGCCAACAGAACATCACATGTGACACAAAAATTGGACTTTACAATATATTCAAGACTGCTCAAGTTCATGTTACACGTACAATCTCCTTCACTTTGCTATATCTTCCTCTGCTTTTTTCGTCGCCGCCTCTCTCGTAACGCCTAAATCCGCAGACTCCTCTCGTCATAGGTATATATTCGATCGAGGTAATGGTGGGGGGTGTGAGTGATGTGCGTATATTGTCCAAATTGTCCCCGTGGGACAAGACAAACGAAAATAAAATCAACGCATGGTTTTGTTTTGGTGGGGATATCACAAAAGATGCTTCATTTAAACGGTCTCGAGCTTGTCGAGGATGGCACGGGTGAACTCGTGGGTGGTGGACTTGCCGCCCATATCGGGAGTGCGGACCTTGCTGTGAGGTTGTTAGTGATCTAATTCGATTTCAATTCTAGGATTGTGACTTACCCCTCGGCGATAACGGCGTAGGTGGCCTTGGAGATGCGGTTAGCATGCTCATCGAGACCAAGGTGTCGCAGCAGCATGCTACCGGACAGAAGCATAGCAGTGGGGTTAGCTTGGTCCTTGCCCTTGATGTCAAGACCGACGTGACGGCAACCAGGCTCGAAAACAGCGACCTCACGGCCCATGTTGCAACCAGGAACAATACCGGGACCACCAACAAGGGCGGCACCAATGTTGGACAGGATACCACCGTAAAGGTTAGGCATGACCATAACGTCAAACTGCTGAGGACGAGAGACAGCCTGCATGGAGGCGTTGTCGACAATCATGTCGTTGGTCTCGAGAGTGGGGTAGTCCTTGGCGACCTGGTGGAAGGTGCTGCGGAAAAGACCATCGGCAAGCTTCATGATGTTGGCCTTGTGGATGCAAGTAACCTTGGATCGACCGTTGGCGAGGGCGAAAGAGAAGGCGAACTTGGCGATACGCTCAGACTTGGCGCGGGTGATGATCTTGAGGGACTCGACGACACCCTCGACGCTCTGGTGCTCGAGACCAGAGTACTCACCCTCGGTGTTCTCTCGGATGATGCACAGGTCGACGTCCTTGTGGCGGGTCTCGTAGCCGGGGATGTTCTTGATCAAGCTGATGGAAGCATAGATGTCAAGCTCCTGTCGCATGGCGACGTTGAAGCTCTGGTGGCCGGATCGGCTGATGGGGGTGTGAAGGATACCCTTGAGACCGAGCTTGTTGCGCTTGAGAGAAGCGACAGACTCGCGGAAAGCATCCTCAGTGCGGCCGGAACCCTCAAGACCGGAAACCTCGATCTGCTCCCACTCAACGGGGACGTTGTCGGCCTTGAAGACGGTCTTGACAGACTCGGCGACCTCGGTACCGATACCATCACCGGGGATGAGGGTGACAGTGTACTTGCCGCCGAACTTGGCAGGCTTGAAGATGTCGGACTGGACGGTGGCGAAGGATCGGGTGATGGGTTGTTTGGCGACGCCGCGCAGCAGCTGGAAAAGTTAGCGATGTCAATTGGTGTTGAAGTTTGTATCAGTGAGCCATTTGGGTTGTTGCAATCATTGTCCTTATGCAATTCAATCCCTCACTTGCTACGTCGCAATCATGATGCATGCCGTCACCAATGCGGGCATTCCTCCAAATGTACAACAACACCAAAAAGCTCATCATGACACAGAACAAAGTAACATACCTGAGCCGAACGAAGAGATCCTCGAGACAACATGATGACTAGGTGGGGGGTATCTTAGAAAGGTAGAGAGGAGAGGATAAAAGCTGTCTGCCACACGAGGAGAATAGAGGGGAAGAATGTTTTCAAGAGTAAAGTTTAGAAGTCATCGACGGGAAGGAAAGAAAGAAAGCAAATCGCGCATGGCCCTCTATTCGTTGCCCAGTCCCGTTCCCAGCCCAGGCTCCCCCAAATCCAAGAAAAAAATAGCTAATATGCCCTGGAACTGCCTGAATTGGTGTCGCATTGGCCGAGCTTGATATTTTTTTCTTTCGGCCGCCGATCGGAAAACGCGATTGTTCCGAGCTGTCAGTGGACACCAAAGCCCGGAGCCTTAGTCCTCAAGCGGTAGCTTGTGGGGAGTTACGCCGGCTCGGTCGCTAGATTTTAGTGCTCCAGTGGCTCTGTTGGGTTTAGTCTGGCCGACTGAGCTATGGACGCAAACGACGTCACGAATGTCGAGCATGAACAATAGACACCATTTCGAGTCAATGAGGGTATATTTATATGCATTTTATCTGGCTCGCTCCTATCTTGACCTCTATATCTTTCAATACTCACAGAAATGCTGTTCAAGTCCACTACAGACGTATCATGATACCATGACATAACGAGCTCTATTCCCCATGTGGAGCTTTTACAGCGGGTCAAGAAAATCTTGGCAAGTGTCAGGTTGCAAGCATTGGGTTGTTACTCGGACTTCGTACTTACGAAACTTACAATAGGCTCCGAACTGAAAGCAGCAACCAACACTCGATGGTGATAAGCTCAGGATGTATCGATTGAGACATAACACATAGTGCACAGGAATATGCCAATGGCTACTGTAGACATGCTTACTTGATACGTCACGAAACATGTTCATATCCCATCATATTCACTGCACGCTATTCCTATTCGTAGCATGCCATATATCCTTTGTACGTTCATCCAGACTACTAATCCTTGATCCTTTATCATCTACCCGCCAGGGCTCATAATACTCATAACATGTACAATGTCAAACCGAACTCCAAACACCATGCCCGCTCAACACAGGTACTAACCCTGCACATCTTCATCCTCGTCTAAAGGCTCAACTCGTACAAGGATCTCCTCAAGAAGTCCTTCCAAGAAACTGCCAACCTCTCTACCCATACCAACAGGCTCGGCCTTGTCATAATGATCAATCTCTTTGCAGACATGTGCAAGTTTGTAGACTAGCTTCCTCAATTTCTCATGCGAAGCCTCTGCCCTCTGCTGTTGAGGTGACATCTGAGCTGGGGTCTGTCCAGGCTTATACATATGCTGAAGATTGATCTGTCGCCGCTTAAGCGCTTCTTCCAATGCAGGAAAGATGACATCGTTAAGCGCATCCAATTCACCGTTGGGATTAGCTGGCGCAGGCGTAGGAAAAGCCGAGGGGCCAGTAAACTCGGATGGGCTAGGTGAAGATGCCTTTGTCGGAAGAGGTCGAGGACCTTGAGCTCCTCCAGGCACCGGCACAATAACCTGAGGTGTGGGGGCGTGCTGTAACGACGGCATCCTTTGCTGCGAAACAGCCTGGTTAGGTCTGTATGCAGGGATCTCTGGTAGACTCATTTGCTTGGTAGTTGTTGGCCGTGCTTGATGTGCTGGTGGAGCAGGTGGTAGAGATCGCTGTGGTTGCGGCTGAGTCTCAGTCTTTGGTTCATAACCCAAGTTGAGCATGCCAACTTCTCGCTGCAGTTGGTCTTGAAGCTCGCGATCGTACTCTGGAGACTCGGGCACAGGTGCTGTATGTACTGGTCGCAATGGCCTAGGGGTGTCTGCACTATCTCTAGTAGCTGCTTTCATCGGGGTCTGCGGCAATGCTCTCGTAGGTGATGAAAATCCCGGTGGTGATGAGAGTCCTGGAGACGGGAGTCCTGGTGGAGGCGAGAGTCCTGGTGATCCGAATCCTGGTGGTGGTGCAAGGCCCGGTGGATGATATTGTGTCTGAGGAACAGCCTTTCGTTGTGGGCTCGACTGTCTTGAGTTGGGTGCCTTTACAGTCTCAAGCGGTTGGAGTCCATAGTCTCGCTTCATCGGACTGGTCTCCCGTCGCTGCTCGCCATAATCTTTTTCACTTTCCAGAGGTCGTGAAGCACGAGCATTTGTCGCATTCTCGTCCAATGCATTCAAGCCCGGTCGGTTGAAGATACCTCCACGGTCACCAACAAGTCTGACAGTACCAAAGTCCCACATGTCCTCATCAACTCGCTCACGTTCTTGTGGAGGACGACCAATGTTGTCAGAACCCCAGTTATCATCATCCTCTCCCTTGTGTGTGGCTGCCCATCGTTGGTGTCTTTCAATGAGCTCAGTAAGATAAGTTGTCCGCTTCGCCCGTCTAATAAACGGGTGGCGCAGCATATCCTTGGCTGTTGGTCTATCCTTGGGATCCCTCTGTAGACATAATTCAACAAAGTCCTTGAAGGCTTTGGTGAAGTTGCCTTCAAGTCTTGGTGGAGGGTTCTTGGGGATGAGGAACAGAACTTTCATAGGGTGAATATCGGCATATGGGGGTTCTCCATTCGCTAATTCGAGAGCTGTGATACCAAGAGACCAAATATCGGCCTTGTGATCGTACCCAGATTGCTTAATGACTTCTGGGGCCATCCAAAAAGGAGTTCCGACAAAAGTATTCTTCTTGGTCATTGTTGCTGAGAGTTGACCCGAGACACCAAAATCGGCAAGTTTAACTTGGCCATTGCTGCTAAGAAGCACATTGGCAGCTACAAGCGTTAGTGGTGTTTTGAGAGTTGAGCAACATTCTTACCTTTGACATCTCGATGTAGCTTCTTGTCTGTATGAAGATAGTCCAGTCCCATAAGCAACTCCCGCACAATGATAGCGATGTAATCCTCGCTGATCAATCCTGGCTTCATTAGGTCGGCGCAACTTCCACCTGAGCAAAACTCCATGACAATCCATAGCTCTGCACCTTTCGCGTAAGATCCATAATACTTGGTGACATAGGGGGATTGTAGCTCTGACAGGATAGCAATTTCCTGTATAATATCTTCAACCTCATCTTCAGCGCTTTCAATGTCAATGACTTTGATTGCAACAGACTGGCCCGTTCGTTTATCGACTCTGTATCGTGTTAGCCATGTCCTTGGCAGTGGCGCAAGTTATCGTCGTACCCTTTGTAAACCTTTCCGAAACTACCACCACCTACGCAATGTTAATATCCATACCCAAATCTCCCACGACAGGACTGACCAATGCAGTACTCCTTGGAGTAGAGAAGCTCCGGGTCTAGAGCTTCATTGCCCTCCTCAACGTCATGTTCACGGTCCGCCATTGTATTTCCGTAGGAGCTTGTGCTTCAGCAGCTTGTGCTTCGAGTCGCGCCCCGTATTTTCGTTCTTTGGTCGAAGGATCAAATCGTATAGGTCGTCGATAGATGCTCCAAGCTTCCTCAGGTCAGAGCAGCGCGTGTAGTCGCTTCGAAACAATTTAGAGTGGGATATCGTAGATTTGGCGGTGTCGCTAATTAGTAGCAACCCCACCACTGGAAAAAGAGTCGTCTGGTGTCGAACCGGGCTCGTGGTAGCGTCTGTCTCAGGTGATGAGAATAAGTAGAAGGTAAGAAAAAAAGGGAGAAATAAAAAGGGAGATGATGATGTGAAGGGAGCTCGAGCCTGAACCAGCCGAATTTGAGAAAAGAAACGAAATATGCTGTCGCACAGCGCAGCCAATCCCCGCCTACGCAAGGGAAAGAAACAACATGCAGCCAAAACAAGCAGGCACAAGCTAAAGCTAAGAAGGAGCAACAGCTAGACTAGTGCCTATTACCTTCTGAGGTGTTTTGTATTGTTGCTGTTTACAAGGGCAGGTGGGGGTTGTTGAGGAGCAACCGCTCCAAGACCTGACTGCCAATCAATCAAATGCATTCATCGAGCCTGAATCGATCTGCTCATGGCTCTTCTGTTCCTGGTGTGACCATGACCTTGCCTTGATCCCTGTAAGTGCCCGTCTAGGAGTGGTCCTCCTCCCCGCACCCGACCTGAGCGCGGGCAAGATCTCCAGCTAGGCCTCGGCCTTATCTGAATTACGTGCATTCAGAGGATGTTCGCGACAGGAAATGTAAAGTTACTGTCCTCAAGGTTTTGATGTTTCTGTATCTTGAAAGAATTACTGGCTATCATGCTCTGTTCATCATGGTGAGACACATTAGGAATGCATTAAATGGAGCCGATCGACGGACCAAGCGGCTAGACCAAATGCCATTGGAACAAAACCATGAAAGATTAATTACCATCCAGTTCCTTGCAGCCGTTCCTTGCAGGTGGAAATTATGTCTGATGTTTGTCGTATCAATCTGACTCATACGCAATCACAAAAAGTACAGCATTATCTCAATCATGTATCATTGCTCGCGGCTATGAGCCGGCTGAGACGTCTAAAGATAGTATCCTCCCTCCGACTGTAACCAGTCTCAATAATGCTAATTCGAACCTGCCTATCCCACTGACCGCAGTCCAATACACTCCATGGCTCCGATAACTATCTATCTGCAAATGCCTGCTGGTCCGTATAAGAAAAACACGTCTCATCAAATAAACTGCTGACTCAGTCCTCAATGAACTCAATCATCACTGTGCCCTGCTTCAATCCTGTGTCTGCGATAGTGGCATCCAAACTCTCAATGAGGTCCTGTCCAGCTGGCATCTTCTTGAGTTCAAACTCGATTCCCTCCTTGCCTTCCAGAGGTTCGGCCTTGAGCCACTCATAGATTCTGCGCACTTGGTCGTCCAGGTTGAATCGGCGGATAACACGACCAGTTGGATGTCGGAACTGGATACGTGTTGTAGTTGTTGGGTTGGCATCTGGCTCGGTGTGCGGGTTTGTGCCAGAAATCTTAGCCCACGGGCTCTGCTCGACTGGAGCTTCGGGTTCCTTGCCCTTGCCCATCTCTTCGGGTGCCGGTGACTTTGTCAAAGCATCAGGGTCATGGACATTAGGTGTTGAGGAGCCTCCACTTCCAGAAGCACCCTCCAAGCTGTTCTTGAGAGCCATTTCTAGCATCTCATCCTCGGTCATACGGTCAACGTCCAACTTCTGGGGCTTGCGAGCTGTTGCTTTGGCGACAGGGTTCTTGCTGTTGGCCGCAAGGCTGTAGCGGTCCAGAAACTCGGCGAGTTCGGCATGAAACTCCTGAGCAGAGGGGAAAGGTCTGCCGGTCCACACCTTGACCTGCTCACCAGTTCGCGGGTCGATAATAGAGACGTGAGGGTAGTTGTCGGGATTTTGATGGCTTTCGTTGGGAAAGTAGAAAGTAAGGAATTCCTGGGCGTCAGGGAAATCCTTATCATATTGGAGGAAGATAAAGTTCTCTCCAACAAGTTCCTTGACAGACTTGTCCTTCCAAACATCGCGGTTCAGGGCCTGGCAGTTAAAGTCGTTCATATCCTGGAGGTTAACCATGATCCACTTCTTGTCCTCCTTGCCCAGAGTACGCGCGTCATCCCAAGACATTCGTGCCATCAAATCATAAGGAGGGCGGAACAGATCCTCCAGTCGTCGCGCATGGGCACCGTTCTCGTTGGACGTTGAAGGTGCAGAGCGTCGTTCGGGATCGGCCCATATTTGCTGAGAAAAGGGTCCTCCTGCACGGCCGGCTATTGAGGTTAGTACAGTACCGAGACATACAGTAACACTCAGTCACTCACGTGGATTTTGCCTCCGCCGTTGTCTCAGCTGCTCGAGGAAAGCTGCTTCCATTCCGTCGTCATTCTCACCACCGCCCCAACCAGGTGCCACCAATGTCTCGGTTGTTCGCGCAATTGGTGCTCGCACATCATCCGGGTTTCCTCCTGATCCAGACCCTTGATTGCCTCCATATAGTTCCTCTTGCAGTCGCTTGGCCATAGCCGCATCCTCTTCTTCTTGTGCCATAGCAGCCGCATGGGCAGCAACAGCTCTGTCGTTAGCGCCTTCATTGTCGCTAAAGTCCTCGAGTTGCATGTCCTGGTCATCGTCGCTATCGATGTGGATAACTCCCGCCGAATCTTGTCTGCCAATGTTGCCTCCTGATGGTGCTACGGGTGTTGTCGCTGATTGTCCAGTTGAAGAAAGACCAGCTCCAACACCAGAAACCAGGTCAGGGTTTTCGTAAAATAGTTCGATGGCACGCTCAAAGTTACCAGCAGTCATCTCAAGGAAGCTGCGGGCGACATCGGTGCTTGCGCCAGTAATGGCCATAAAGGTGGAAATGTTGTCGTCCATGGCGGCGACGCTCCGACGAGGGGTTTTAGGTGCTGGTATATGTTGATATCAAGAGATCGTCCGTATACGATTTGAATCGGGGATCGAGTGACGAGTGACAACACGTCGGTTGGTGATATCGCAAGGTTCGGTGTAGCTCTTGTAGAAGCAGAATCAATGCCCCGCTGTTATCATAGCGGGGAGGAAGGTTAAATAATCGCTCGCTCTGAAGGTTCCACGTGAAATAGAACAAAGTTGGTATAGAGTTTGTTCTCTGTCAGCTCGTCAAGACAGATTTCATATATGAAAGACGTTGCTGCACATGTATCGCTGGGTGCAAGGCAAGAGTTGAAGATTGAAGTGAAGCACAGACATCAAGACAGGCACCCAACCACAGTGACGCAACCGGATCAGTGGAGCTAAATGTTCCTTCTTTGGAGGGGCAAGTGACAGGGGATTAAAGAGAACGGTGGCGGAATATCGATGACGCGACTGCTGGATGAGCTTACCCTAGAGGTCAATGTTTGTGCAGTGCAGTGTTCTTTAGGTCGTGTTATTCAGAAGGTCTTTAGTATTGACGTCAAGTGCATTTTAGAGTATCTTTATTTAAGCTTAAGCAAAGAGAGCAAGCGTCATTGCAGGTGGTTGAGCGCTATCGTGAAAGGTCTCTTCTCTACTGCGATCTTGCGTATACGTCTTTGTTCCACAAACACTGCACCAGATATGAAAGCACGTTGACATCCGCAGACTTCAAGCTACGCGCGCAAAGAATACATACAAGATGAATGCATTCTGAATCTGACTTTAAAACAAAACAACAACGTCATGATGAGAAAACATTGACTCTGGTACACACTTACGGGCAATTTGGGTGTACACCACTCACAATGAGCTCACCCAAAGGAAGCTACAAGGAAGTACTGGGAGCAACCCCGCAAGCTTGAAATAATTAGAATAAAAACAAACATAGATCTATATTCTTGATCATATGTTGCTTCGAAGGAAGTAGAATCGTGAAGCTCTTCGAAGTTGTTGACACGTGACACTGTCAGCCAGCTTAGTCATGATTCTAGTCGTCACGATGGTTGACTTGCGACTGGCCTCTAAACAGCTATCAGCTGGCGGGAGCTTCGTCATTTGCTGCCTAAGACCACCAAATAAATCGCATCCCTGAATTTACATAGAACTCCACTGCGCTTTGCTTTCATTTCTGTTTATTATCAGCAAACACTCAGTCATGGCGGCGCCTTCAACGAAAGAAAGAGAGCTCCAGCTTCTAGATAGTGTGGAACTCAAGATCCTGGGCGTTGCCAACAAGGAGAAGAAGCTACACGAATTGTTACAACGATATCTTCCGCCTGTCATTGTCAAGGCTGCTAGCGAACATGCTCCGGTTCGAGCTAAAGTCGTTCAGATCTTCTCCAGACTAAAGACATTTATCCAACCGTCAGAGGTCATCCTACCTGTTGGTGCCCTTCTTGATCAGTACAAGTCAAATGACTCTCCACTAGTCAAACAGCTTGATATCTCAGGGATACAACACAGCGTAGAGCGCCTGGATGACTATGAACGAAGAGAGCTTATCCCCAAAGCTTTAGCTGGTTTCTCCAAGGACAAAGGGCTTGCTCGAGCTGGACCTTTCTTCAACATCATTCTTCGACTTCTTCTGGATGCCCGGATACCACCAAGAGGCAGCAAAGATGACACCGAATACCGACAAGCGATCGGACTCTCTGATGAAGCTGATGCGAAATTCCTTGCCAACCTTATTAGCATCTTTCTACGACTACGGAACCCTACGCAAAACCAGAACTGGACCGAAGCAAACCCGACTCTAACCAAATCCGAGCTCGAGTCGCTCGCTGTGGAGAGTCCAGAGTCGCAAAAGGTCTTTGAGAGAATGTCAGAGCTAAAACTCAAGCTCGTTGCCTTACTCGCAAGTGGCGCCTTCACCGACGAGGAAAAGTTCCTACCTGCACTTTATGCTGCTTCAAGTTTCGATAACAGGCTAGTGTCTGCTGCTGAGGAAGTGTTGAAGCGAAGTTCCGTCTCCATGGAGGATGAGACTCTTGTGAAGCGTCTGTTTCATGCTCACTCGATACTACCATCGACATACCGAACTCGTATTCTCAACATGCTCTCAAAATCCACAATCTCAGCAACTATGTCTGACGACATTATGAATGTTGTCAAGCTCAACTTCTCGACTGCAGATGAAGCCTCAGACACCTTTTCACAAAGCTTACTACCGAAAAGTACATTGGAACAAGTCAAACTCCACACTGCTGCGTTCCAATACCTTGCTTGGGTAGCTCGTGTTGGGCCTTCACAAGAAGGATTTGACATTGCTGTTCCTCTAATCAACACCATGAGCGGCTTCATCGAGGGAGACGGCTGGCCTGTCCCCGAGAGGACATCGCACGACGATATTGCACTTCGATCCAAGGCATACGAGACAATCGGTGTACTGGCGAGAAGCGCCAATATGCCTATCGAAACGCGACTAAACCTTGCCGGATGGCTTTTCAAGTCTTTGTCCCAAGATCCTACCAACGACGCCGTTGTTAACATTGATGGCGCCCTTTCTAGCTTGACTACCAACATTCCAGCTACTGCAGGCAGTGAGTCTGAAGAATTGAAGGCAATGTTGCTCACATACATGTCTCTTCCTGACGAGCCCCCTGTTATCAGGAGTACTCGTCATGCTGTGGTCAAGTGGGCGAACCAGTGCCTTACATTTTCCGATATCCTTGGCCGTTGGATCGATGTTCTAGCAATCGGAGCTCACCAAGATGAGAGAAGCGATGTTATTGAACAAGGCCATAAAGGTCTAGATCCTTGGACTTACCACGCACATGCCGAGGCAGACCCTGCCCTGCCGGACTGGATGGAAATGGTGGCCGTCTTCTTTGGATCTCAGATCACGCCAGAAACACACGCTGATGCAGCTCCACCTGATCTCAAATTCCATCACTCTGTGTTTGAGAACTTTGAGGGATGTCGAAAAGCTGCTTTCCCTGTTGCATTGAAGTACTGCAAGCACATCATGTTCCTTACCGCTCTCAAGGACTTTGAGGTGCAACCTGATTGGATGCAGACCCTTGATGCTAGAGTCAAGACTGATATCAAGACTCGAGAGAAGATTCTTGGGTATTTGCACACTGTCGATAGTGCGTATGTTGTCTTTTACCTCAAGGCTTGTCTGGATGGAGCCTATCTCAAAGACTCCCCGATCACCGAAGAATGTCTGCGTTGCTTCGTTGACGTTGCCTCCCTTAGCCCTGGTGGTGCACTGGGATACTTGACCGACTCCAGCGAGGGTCTCTTCAAGTTGATAAAGTCAAACAACAAGGAGATCCGATCACTAACAGCGCGAGCTATGGGTATCCTCGTGTCACATTTAGCAAATGACGCTACTACTATCAACAACTACCGTCAAACTTTGATCTCGTTCTATGAGAATGCTGAAAAGTTGGTTGGACCTGAACTCAACGCGGCAGAGGGAGGACTACTAGCATACAGTTACGTGTGCTCACGCAGCGTCTACTATGGACAGCCAGTACCTGAAGATGTCTCCTATCCCCTGCACCTTCTCACAGGCGAGAATATACGCTCCTCTCTATATGAAACTGCACTGGAGGCTTTTGCTCAGCTATGGACTGCTGGTCTGGCTATTCCTCAACGCGAAGGAGACCATCCTCTGGAAACAGTCATCAGCAAGCTCGTCACCCAAGCGAAGAAGGGCAACGAGAAAGCAATTCTTGCACTTGGGAGATTGGCCGCTGGATTGAGCGAAAGTGAAGAGACCGAAAAGGAGAGTGAAGATGGCTGGTCACACGGAATTATTGGCAACATTCTCAAGGAATTGTTTGCTCTGCACGAGATCAAGCAAGTCGAGGTTCAATTCACCGTCGGAGATGCAATCACTGCAACCTTGGCGCGATGGGAATCCGACTACGTCAGGTTGACTTTGGACGTCGAATCTCGCAGCTGTATTCAGAAGCGCAATGGTTCTAGGGGAACACTTCTTACTGCCGTTCTCAACAAGATCTTCGCAGACTGCAAAGCCACAAAGCCATCGCTGCTCAAGGCTTCGGGCATCTGGCTGTTCTGTATTGTTCAGTACTGTTCCCATTTGGAAGAAGTACAGTCAAGGCTACGTGAGATCCAAGCTTCTTTCATGAGACTTCTCAGTGCGCGTGACGAGCTCGTGCAAGAAACTGCCTCTCGTGGTTTGTCTTTGGTTTATGAACGTGGTGATGCGGATCTCAAGAGTGCCCTTGTTAAGGATCTTGTCTCTGCATTTACAGGCACTGGCACTCAGCTCAAGGTTGACCAAGAGACAGAACTCTTTGAGCCTGGTGCACTTCCAACTGGTGAGGGCAACTCAATTACTTCCTACAAGGACATTGTCAATCTTGCCAATGAAGTTGGTGATCAGAGACTTGTGTACAAGTTCATGTCGCTGGCTGCAAATGCTGCAACCTGGTCAACCCGTTCTGCTTTTGGTCGCTTTGGCCTCAGCAACATCCTGTCAGAATCGGAAGTTGACCCAAAGCTGTATCCTAAGCTTTACCGTTACCGATTCGACCCTAACCAGAATGTCCAAAGGTCCATGGATGACATCTGGAAGGCACTTGTCACAGACACAGGCGCCGTTCTCAGCACGCACTTTGATGATATTTTAGACGATCTTCTCAAGAGTATTCTGGGCCGAGAATGGCGTATGCGAGAAGCAAGTTGTGCAGCCATCTCCGAATTGATCCAGGGTCAACCATTCGTCAAATATGAGAAGCGATACCGAGAGATTTGGACCTCAGCTCTGAAAGTCCTTGATGATGTAAAGGGCTCTGTCAGAGAAGCCGCTTTTAAACTCTGCAGAACTCTATCCAACACTCTTGTTCGTCAACTCGAGGAGGGAACCAGTGGATCTGCTGCCCAGGGGATGATGAAAGAAGCTCTTCCATTCCTTCTTTCTGATAAGGGTATTGAAAGCTCGGCCAAGGAGGTTCAAGCCTTTGCAGCTATTACTGTCATTGAGCTTACCAAAAAGGGCGGCAAGGCTCTCCGGCCATTCATCCCAGACATGGTTCCTCAACTCCTGGGTTTGTTGAGTTCCATCGAACCCGAGCAGATCAATTGGCACTACCAACGAGCTGGAGAAGATAGCAGAGACCAAATCGACAAAATCCGATCACAAATGGTGAACCGGTCTCCCATTTCGGAAGCCATCGAGAACTCACTGCGTTTTATTGATGCAGATGTCATGGCGGAACTGGCACCTCAATTGGAAAACACCATCAAGACTGCGATTGGTATGCCAACAAAGATTGGATGCAGCAGGGTTCTAACAACACTGTTCACACGCCATACAAACGACGTCAAAGGTGTCAGCAACAAGTTCCTGCAGATTATGGAGAAGCAGACTATGGACAAGAATGACGAAGTCAGTCAAGCATATGCTCGTGCTACCGCGTACATGTTGAGAGTTGCATCAGACTCAGCCAAGACTCGTTTCTGCAAAAAGTTCATTGATATGTACTTTGCAGCAGAGGAAGAGACACGTCGTCAAAAGATTGCAGATGTGATTGTGGCGTTGGCCAAGGTCTCACCTGATCATTTCACTGCACTCGAGACTCAACTGCTGCCGTTCTCTTTTCTGGGTTCTCATGATACTGATGAGTATACTGCCAAGGTGTTCAAGGAAGTATGGGAACAGCACGCTGGAAGCAGCCGCACTGTCGTTCGCTACGTCCCAGAGATTGTTTCCCTTGTGGAAAGATGCTTGGACACTGCGCAATGGGCTCTGCGACATGGCGGAGCTTTCACTGTAGCTGCAATGGTATCTGATGTTGCAAGCGCAAGCGACGCCAGTGGTCAAATTAGCGATGCCAACTTGACCAAGATCTGGCCAGTCTTTGAGAAGACACTGGCTCTGAAGACCTTTGAAGGCAAAGAAAAGCTCCTTGACTCTTATCCTCAATTTGTTGAGAAGGGCCGCAGTCTCTGGTCTTCAGACTCCAAAATTGCTGCGCAGATGGAGAAGATTGCTCTTCGAGAGGCAAAGCGCAACAATGATGAGTACCGTGTTCATGCATTCAGCTGTCTATGGAAGTTTGCCAAGGCTCGCGATGATCTAGAGATGCTCGACAAGATCACAGAAGTTGTGACACCCTACCTTGATGAGTTGAAGGGCGAAGATGACAATGAGGACAAGATGGATATCGATTCAAAGGATCACGCCAAGAAGGAGCAGCTTGCTGAAAAGACTGCCTCCAACGGCTTTGAAGCTATCGCTCGAGGATACAACCGCACAACCATCAAGCAGGATTCCCTTCCAGTCGTGACAAAGATCATCAACATCCTCAAGCCTTACCTCGAAAGCCCCAACTTTGCTTCAATCAAGCGACAAGTTTGGTACGAGTGTGTTCGCGATCTCATGGATGATGCAGTATCTCCGTCAAAGCAGCAAAACGACGAAGGCGCCGTGGCGTTGACTTATCTTTTGAGTCTTGATATCGACTTGGTTGATACTGGCACTGAATCACAGAGAGTCATGAGGGCTAAGGCTGTGGGTGCTTTGTTTAAGGCAAAGGCGAGAGGTGTGTTTGGTCAGAGTGGTCCCGATGGGGCTCAGTTGAAGGGGATGGTTAGCAGGGCTTTGGAAGCTGAGAGATCGCTGGAGGTGCAGAGGGTGTTGAGAGATATCCTTGTTGAGATGGAATAAGCCGTGTAAGGCCACCAAGCATGGAGCTCTGGTCAATATGCCTGTTGGGTGGACCACAGGCAGATCTTTCGGGAACGAACGTGAAATAGAGTATAACAACAATAGAGAATCTACTCCGTATTCTCTGAAGATATAATGTATACTAGTGAGGATAGCGGTATACTTCATAATTTTAAGATCCCAAGCCATGTCACGACGTTGTCATCATGCCATGTCTCACGAACATCTTACGACTATTCAAACCTGTATCACAACCTACCTTTCACTCAAGCCTAAACAATGTGAATGCAGTACAACAACTGCCCAACGTTACATATCCCAATCATGCCTAAAGAAACCCAATCCATCTTCATTCTCGTCAAACTGAAACAAAATCAGATGATTCAAGCGACACAGAAAAAGGCAGTATCCTCTACGGTTTGCCACTGTTCAATAATTCAGGGTCGCCGGATCGGACGTTGAGCTCGGCCGGAAACGTCGGTGTTTTTGAGATCCAGTGTGACGGAGTGCATGGTAAAGTCGCCGAGTGCTGGAGTCAATTCAGTCGTATGCAACTGTGTCTTCCGTTCTTATCTAGCCCTCAAATGCCAAGTTGGAAAATAGACACTATTGGTAGAAAACTGTGACCAACATTTTGTCTACAAAGTGGAAAAGACAAGGATGGCAGTAGTTGATGCCCCGCACCGATATTGGCACGCCGAGCAATCAAGATCGCAGCGATGCTACTGTACCGAACAGAAAAAGGCACGATGATGCCAATCTTGTGTCATGAGCATGAAAGACTCTCTGCCGCTCCAAGCTACTGATAAAGAACCAGTCAAAAGTCACGATAGCCAGCATCTCGCGATTCAGTCCTTTGTTCAGAGTCGCAGTGGGGAAGAAGCATCGGGTTTTCTAAGCCGCAATTTGCGTCACCAGTCTGCTGCTGGGTTTCCCACGAGGGTTGCAAGGTGGGATGGACGATCTGCAAGTAGCAACCAGGCCCCCGGTCCCAAAATTGATGAATGCGGTTAAAGGGGAAGCACCAGAAGCATTAGAAATTCGCGAAGCCGTTATGTAACGCCGAGGATGGGTCTTTTCAAGTAAAAGTATCGTGAGGACAAAATTCAAGCAATGTCTTGAACAACTTGGCTCTCATCCAAGCAATGCAATTCCTTGAAGACAGTTTGTATGATGCACTGTATCTGCAAGTCGTCTGACCGATCTTATTGGATATGCTAGTCCTCGGAAGTTCACCAGTCATCATCAAGGTTAAAGATGCTTTGTCTTGCAGAGCAATGTCGCATGGTGGTAGTCAGAAATATCTTTGGTGTGCAGAGCGATCCACCAGCACGATGCCCGGAGGCCTGGAAAAACCTCCCATTTGTTGACAATCCAATTGGATTAACGACGGCGTGCTGCAGTGGCACACTTCAGTCGAGACGGTTCCAATTCCCATGTGGTGACGGTGACCTCAGTACAAAGTGGGCTTGGTGCTTTCAAAGTGACGATAACATCGAAGCGTGAGCAATTCAAGTTGGAACTTTTTGCGAGTGAAGCGAGGAAAACCGACGCGCTATCACAAAGTTGGTTCAACCCTGGTGCGGTCTTGATAGGGTTTTCTGTCTTGGCGCGGCAGGAGACCGAGATCTTGCTGGAACAGGGCATTTTGGCATGGGGTTTTGTAGCGCTATAGTCTAGCTTTGAGTTGACACTTCTCAGAGGAGGGTTTACCACCAGGAACAATCAGCACCCATGATCGATCCCAAATAGGTCAGGCAGTTCAGTTGGTTATCCCCGCTGACTGGAAGAATTGCAAAGAACATTTGGCAAAGGACACTTGGCTTTGCAAGGTAATGCTAACCGATGTTGATGCATTGGCTTGCATTGAATGATCTTCGATTGTCGAGGAATGACCATCAAATGAGCGTTCCGTTGGATGTTCCTGTAATTCAAAATCACGACCGAGCTCGTGCTGTAACTACTGGTAAGCTGCCAGTTGTCAGGCGTCTCCGAGACCATGTTGCAACCCTTCGTTTCGGCGTTGCTATTCTGAGCTCGCTTGTCGCACGTCGCTATGACGAGCATTCATGAGGCTTGTCAAGGGATTCTGGGGTTGACTGAGGAAATCCAGGGCTGGCAAGCATTTCCATATTGAGTTGATTGGCGTCCACTTTACAAGGCCGGAGATATTCAGATAAATGAGAGGTTGAAACATTGTCGCTCCTGGGTGCGCCGTGCATTTGTGATATGTTCGCGCTTCATTCGGCTAACAGGATAGACGCAAATGGGATGCTGCTCGTCGGTGAAACCAGCAAGCGAGGTGATAACGCTCCCTTCATTCCTGCTCAAGATTGACCGAATGCCAATTGTATTCAATGCATTGACTCAATCATGCCAAACATTGCTTCTCTGTTGTCCTTCCGACGAGTCAAAGCCCTTGTTATCAACAGCGATCATTTTCATCTCCCTGCTCTCAGCTCTGATCGTATATCACCAGCCGGTCAGCGTTTGTCTACAGTGCCGCACTTAGATCGGGTTGCTTTCCAGGCCATCGACCCAGATGCCCTATGATTTCATGATCCACCTCCAGCAGGGCTGTTTTCACAGGGGTAGTATTGCTGGTTCGTCTCGTCAGGTCGTCCTGTTTTCAGCGCCCAGCATCCGCTGTTCACTGTCCAGCTTCCAGTCCAAACGGTGCCCAGTTGCACTTGGGCACTAGACCTGAGATAACGGCACGCCCGCCGTCAAGGATAGCCCTGGTTGCGGAGAGCCACAAAAAGCCTTTTTCAGCACGCCAGGTACCCAAGCATGGCTGAACTTGGTCGGACAGCGGTACTTGTCAGTAGACCATTTAACAACCGAGCATTATTAGGGCCCATTACCAGTGGCCAACAAAGCCATTGTAGCCTCGAGTATCGAGGGCCGAGCTCTGGTATTGTTTCGTAAAACACTTTGACCATCGCTATCGCCGCAGCAAGTCCGTTAATTGTCTGCATCACGATGATCATGAAGCTGCTAAACCAAAATGCCGATACTGTGCGTAAGAGTTGAACCGCTAGGGCAAGGCCCACAGCTCTTGTCGTTGCGTTCTTGTTCTCCTCCCTTCCATTCACTCCACATAGCGACACACACTTCTTTCAAGCCACGCCCACTCTCAATGGCTCCGGCTCTCAACTTCCAATCGAAAGGTATTTCGATGTTGTGCGTTGCTTCTCCAAAAGCCCTCCCCCTCCTGTTGAGTAGCGTTAAGAAGGCCTAGATAACTTTCCCTCCCATATCTCAACTCTGCTGTGAATTGCTTCTGACCACCGTCTTCATTGATTAACATCGTTTGTTCTTGTCTTGAACGCTTTGTGTCACGGAGTGTCCGTTGCTGCGCCTGCTTGTCCAGGTCCACGCTACCGTTACCATCATCTCATCTGGATTCCGTGCACCTGCAGCCGCTCCGTCACTCTCCAGTGACTTCACAGCGTCATTCGTCCATTGAGGTGTTTCAGTACCACCCTTAGCAAGTCCACACCAAGATCCAAGATCCCCTTGTCAGCGGATACGGCAGCCCACACCCCCTGGTAGACAATTTTCCCCTACCGGTACCCTCGTCCCCGCGTGCCCCCGATTGTTCCCAAGACAAGACCCAAACAAGGCAAGGTTAAGAAAAAAAAGCTCGTCTTTTTTCTTCTACCCTCTCCCGCATTACGACTCATCCCACGACTCTCTTTCTATTTCCCCTCATCCATCTTTGTTCACATCACGGTTTTCACGGCTTTTCCCTTGCGCGTGTTTCGGAAATTTGGCTGTGACAGTTACTGTTGTTTTTGTTGGCGCCTAAAAGTGAGTGAGTTTTCTTTGAAGTTCTTTGTCTTTTCGATTTCGTTCGTTTCTCTGGCACTCGTGGTTGGTGGGAGGTTTGTGGGATCTTGAGCCGGACATCAGCTTCACAACGTTGCGCGCGCACACCATCGACATAATTGAACTTCGAAACAACAACCAATATTCTGGCAGTCGATTCCTGCTTTGAATTGAAATTTTATTCCGATGGTCCGTAAAATAAGTACAACCCTGTACTGCCGGTCGCATCTGTCATCCGTCTCGATCATTGCGCCATGACGTCTCGATAAGACCGAACGACAATTTCCGACCGAGGTCAGCATGACATTCTGTCATGTACTGAAGAACACTTGTCATAACCTCAACAAACTCGATTGTTGGAAAACCGCCACTACCTATCTTCGATCAGTATGCTCGATGTGCATAACAAACTTGTGGTGGCAGCCTGTCGCAATGTCTGGGCGACGAATGGAGAGTTGGGCGGAATATTTGAGATTGTCGAGGAATCACTCATGCCGATATGATAAAGTCCAACGACCATTCAAGTTCTGGAAATCAAGGCCAATGGATGGATTGGATTGTCCCAAACCCCCACATTCGGTCAGAGGATCCAAGCCATGAACTTTCCTGGGCAACTCGACTGGGCAACAGGCAATGAAACTGCCACGAAACGATGTCTGGCATGTGAATACCGGTCCGATGCGAGAAGAGGCTGAATGCTGGAAACCACGAATTGCCCAAACTGGACCACGAGAATCCGGAATATGGACGACGGACTGGACTTGGAGAGGCTCGAGTAGATTGCTAACGAAAACCCAGGTTAAGCTCATTTCGGGAACGTTTGTAGCATCTTACCACATTCCTTTGGAATCTTTGGTAAAGCACCTTTCCCGTGAGAACGACGATTCGGCGTTTCGCATCCCCTATCACTATCCTCAAAAGCATTTCATTGCTTGTATCGGCGTGACGGCGTCTTAGAGACTTGATTCGCATCTGTACGGATACTTTTCGAAGTGTTGTCGTTTCCTCTCGGTTTGGCAGATTCATATTTTAAGGACTAGACTCGGCGTGAAGGTACAGTTCGGCATCGGTATCGGTCCTGCATTGAATCTAACATTAATTCTTCAGGTCTTACGATCCAAATAGCGACTTACTTCGTTGTGCTTTCGGTACTCGATTCTCCTGACGGTAAGTGCCAATTGCGATGCCCCTCATTGCCCCGCCATCGATCGCTTTCGGTCAGCGCACTCTTGTGGCCGAGTTTGCCATGCGATCATAATAATATGACCAATGCAAACCGAATTGATCGAAGATTGCGAAATTTAAATTTCCTTTCTGACAGTGTTGGGGGTGGGAATTTGGAGGTTGACGAGTTCTTGCCTTGCCAGGCACCTGCCCATTCACTTTAAAAAGTGCAGGCACGGTCGACCTTCCTCAACCTTCAACGCTTCCCTCCCTCTCCGCCAAATTCCCAACTTTCTTTTGCCTCACAATCTTTCATGCGGCGCGTTTGTGCTGACAATTAGTTGCTAGCACTCCTACGACTTGTTTACGACGTGTACGAGTTACTCTTCACGGTAAGTTTATCCATCACATGATTCCTCTCCCAAATTTGCCCGCCCGAAACAAGCAGATGCTGGAGTCTCGCTTGATTGTCACCGATTCACCACCAAACCCCTGGCCATTGTTCCACTTCTGGATGGAAGGACATCATTCGAGGATCTTTCTGACTGAGGACTCTGGCCTTTGATTCACCGACGACTCGACCTCTGGATACTCCTGGTCCAATCACTACAAACCTTCAATGGCATTGTTCTCAACTCTGATTGTCTGCGTCTGATTTATGCTTTATGCTTTGAAGTCACATTCACAGTCACATTGTTTTCTGCCCTTTTGCTCTGCCCTCCTGTTTTCTTTCCCACAACATCACTCATTGTTTCACACTTTCGCTTTCAACAATCACTCGTCAATACAGGTTGCTAACTCGCTATTGTAGTCTTCTTTTTTTGTTGCTCCGCTCTGTCAAGCTCTGCAGCATTTCGCTCTTCGTATTTTGAACATTTAAGCTGTTGCTTCGTTCCCATCGGTACGTCGAAACCCTCCCGTTTGCTACGTTGAGTCACCCCTCGCGATAGCCCCCCTCTCCCCGACTTTACGTTTGCACAAATGCTTACTCTTCACAGCTCATCATGGATATGAACCCTGGCTTCGCTGGCGTCCCTGCCAACAACGGTGCCCCTTCTGGCCCTATGGCCTTCTCTAACGGCACTCCTCCTGCCCCTGACATGGGTCAAGTTGCCCCTCCTCCTGGAGCTGGCCCTGACTCTCCCAAGACCACCCTGTGGTAAGTAACAACGTCCGCCAAAACTTCACAGTGTACTGACTCCTGTAGGATGGGTGAGCTCGAACCTTGGATGGATGAGAACTTTATCAAGGGAGTCTTCCTGTCTGCGGCTCATGAAAGTGTGAACGTTAAGGTCATCCGCGACAAGAACTCTGGTAATGCCGGATACTGCTTCGTCGAGTTCGCCAGCCCTGAGTCTGCTACCAAGGCCCTCGGCATGAACGGTCAGCCTGTGCCTAACAGCTCTCGCTCTTTCAAGCTCAACTGGGCCTCCGGTGGTGGTCTCGTCGATCGACGGTATGTACCAACTCGACAATACAATTATCACCCACTAACACATCCAGTGATGACCGCGGTCCCGAGTACAGCATCTTCGTTGGCGACCTTGGCCCCGAGGTCAACGAGTACGTCCTGGTTTCCCTCTTCCAGGCTCGCTTCCCCTCTTGCAAGTCTGCCAAGATCATGACCGATGCTATGAGCGGCCAGAGCCGAGGCTACGGTTTCGTCCGCTTCTCCGATGAGAACGACCAGCAGCGCGCTCTCGTCGAGATGCAGGGTGTCTACTGCGGCAACCGACCCATGCGCATCTCTACTGCTACCCCCAAGAACCGGGGCAACCACGGCTTTGGTGGTCAAGGACCCCCTAACGGCAACCCCATGATGGCTGGTATGCCTCAGCAGCAGATGTGGAACGGTGGTGGTATGCAGGGTTTCCCTTACGGAGGATTCAACCCCGCTACCCAGATGAACCAGTTCACTGACCCCAACAACACCACCGTCTTCGTCGGAGGTCTTTCTGGCTACGTCACCGAGGATGAGCTTCGATCATTCTTCCAGGGCTTTGGTGAAATCACCTATGTCAAGATACCACCTGGCAAGGGATGCGGTTTCGTTCAATTTGTCCACCGCCACGCCGCCGAGATGGCCATCAACCAGATGCAGGGTTACCCCATCGGAAACTCCCGCGTCCGCCTCAGCTGGGGCCGATCTCAGAACAACTCCGGCGTCGGCACTCCTTACCGACCTGCCCCTCCCCCTCCCCACTACATGGGCATGCCTAGCCATGGCGGACCCGGCAACTACGGTCCTCAGCACTTTGGCGGCCCCGCTCCTGGCCCTCAGGGACCTCCCGGGCCCCCTGGTCCTCCCGGCCCCAACGGACCTCCTCAGGTATGCTCCTTAGCCGATATGACCCGTTGACGTACTGACAAATTAGGAGTATTAAACCGATACTGCACGCAGTAATTTGACCACGATAACTCGTTGACGAAGGGGCTTTATACGAACAATCCCCCGGCACTTCTATTTCCTTGGACTCAATTATCTTGCCTTCTCGTGGGCTATCATGTCGAGCAGAATCTATCTGCTTTCCTTGGCAGTTGACCAGCGATACCCTTGCTTGCGATCTGGGTTATGACTTTAAGTTTTATGGCAGCTCAGGATTTCTACACGACACCACGCACACTCCATTTCCTTGGGTCTGAATCATGATTGGCGTTGGAGATCTTCGGTCCCCCCGGTGGATTGTCATCAATTCAATTCATTTAAGCTACTTGCCTGTACTCTCTGTGTTTACTTTAGTCACTCACTGCTTTTTCCTTTTGCTTTTGACTGTCTTTAACCGTTGCTATGCGTGATTGTCACGCTGCAAGTCCTGCTTTTCTTCCAAACGTCTCGTAGTCAATTCTAGCCTGGTATGTTGGCAATGGCTTCGTGCGCATGTCAGTGTTTATAGGAGGAACATTGCAGGCGTTTACCTGGTGTGGTGTGTTTGGGATCGATCTGTAAAAAGCGATTAGGAAAAGAATGGTCCTGGCTATGATTGAGTGTTTCTGATGAGGCGATGAGGAGTTTGGTCTGCGGATTTAGGGAGTCAGTTCAAAACAGACCGACCATTGCATTAAATATGATTGTCCCTGACTCGTGAAGCTCGCGTGACAACAAACGACACGTATGAATCCCCTCTTCTGACCTGACAGCTCAAGGTACAGCAACTAGCTCAACACCTCCGCATCTTGGACCTCCACATAATGGAGATCTGACGTAATTTGCTTCTCCGCGACAGCCCAGTCGAAATAGGGTTTCGAGATGCTTGCGATGGCTATTGGGCGTCAGCCTTCAGGGTATCTTAGTGCTGGCTTCTTATGCATGCAGCATGATGCTTCATGACCTTGTGAGTGGAACTTTATTTCAGAGTACTTTAAAGCTGTTGCTCCGCCTCCTCTTTTTCGACAAACTCTCATCCCCTCATTGTTTAAAATGTCGTCTACTATTGATCTAAGTGCTTTCCCCACCGGAGCTCCCGCAGCTCCATCAGCTGAGATTCGTTACGCGGATGTAAGTTCAGTATCTCGTGATGCAAATGGCGGGCTGACTCGGTGTTATAGGTCGCTGTCACAGCAACTGCGAAAGAGTTCAAGGGCGTATACCGTGATGATAAACAGTACCACGAACCAGACTTTATCGTCACTCTCGACCGAGCCAGAGATGCGGGCGTTAGCAAGATTATGTTGACGGGCATGTCACTCTCCGACGTCTCTGAGAACGAGAGCATCTCCAAGCTGCGCCCTTCTCAAGCATATTACACCATCGGCGTGCATCCTTATCATGCTTCTGAGCTTGATCAAGGTGGAAAGTCATACCTTGCCGAGCTGGAGCAGAAAGTTAAAAACGCCCTGGCTCAAGACTCGCCACACATTGCGGCGTTTGGAGAGTTAGGTCTTGACTATGATAAGGAGGAGCATGCGTCCAAGGATGTGCAGAAGAAGGCTTTCACTGCTCAGTTGGATCTGTTTGTCAAGAACCAATGGGATCTTCCTCTTTTCTTGCACTGCCGCAACGCCTTTGACGATTTCGTCGAGATGATGACTCCATACATGGAGAAGCTTCCCCGGGGAGGTCTAGTACACAGCTTCGTCGGAAGCGCATCTCAGATGGAGAAGTTAGTATCCATGGGACTAGGCGTGAGTGTCAACGGATTCAGCTTCCAGAGCACGGAAAGTCTGGAGATGGTATCCAAGATTCCTCTTGACTCTCTGCAGCTCGAGACGGATGCGCCATGGGGTGAGTTGAAGGGTGAAGTAGTGAAGCAGTACTGCGCCAACGCGAGGCCTTTGCCTCCGTCCAAGAAGAGGGATAAGTGGGATCCTAAGTGTATGATCAAGGAGAGGAATGAGAGTTGCACTATGGAGAGGGTTGCGCTGATCGTGGCGGGGTTGAAGGGTGTTGGTGTTGATGAGGTTGCTGAAGCGGCTTGGAAAAATAGTGTTAGGATGTTTGGACTTGGACGACGATAAATGTCCGTAAATATTATAGCTATATAATTGAAGCGATCATAATCGCCAATTCTGTTGAGTCTAGAATCTAGACCCGAGTTGATGCCCCGCATGATACCTTACCCTGCAATTCACGATAAGAGCTGATGTAGAAGCTCTTATCATGTCTGTGCGGGTCTTTTCCGAGTACGACTATACGAGACAGCTGAAATTGGAATGCGAATAGTTGCAAATGGCCCAAAGCAGTTAACATGTCTCCAGGCTCCAACAAAGCAGGGGTCAATCTAGGCTACAGCAAACTGACAATGTCTATAAATTTCACCCGGTACCCAGCTTGAAGACGGGCTTGTAACTACTCTTCAAGTCTCAACTCCAAGATGGCATTCAATCTCAACTCTGTACCAGATTACGATGACCTTCCTGAGGTCAAAACCATGCCCAAGGGCTGCGCCTGGGGTGTTTTTGACCAAGATGGTAAAAAGGACATGGTCGGAACGCTCAACTTTCTTACTCCAGACGTTGTCCGCAGCGCTGCTCTAGAAGTCAAAGATGGTGTTTCCATTTCTCTCAAGTAAATCCTCCTACCATACTCATTTGAGCATCACTGACTCTTCCAGCTGGCCCATCAATGCAATGACCAAGCTCAACGTCCCAGGCCGAGCAGCACCCGAGCACAAAATCCTCTACATCCCCGAAAGCATGGCAGCCCTCCCCTTTGAGCAAGGAAAGTCATGGGACGATGAAATCAGCTTCAACACCCAAGGAAGCTCCCAATGGGATAGTCTGTGTCACTTCCAACACCAAGATTCAGGCCTTGCCTACAATGGCGCCAATCCCAGCCGAGAAGCTTTGTCTGTCGACTCAACCGAGGCCAACACCATGCCCACGCTAGATCATTGGCACTCTCACGGCTGTATCGCGGGACGAGGAGTCTTACTCGACTATGCTGCTTACGCTGAGGAGAAGAACATCGAGTTCCATCCTTTTGACGGACATCGTATTACGGTTCAAGACCTTGAAGCTTGTGCAGCATACCAGAACGTCGAGTTTATGCCTGGCGACATTCTTCTCATCCGCACAGCCGCCACTGAAGTCGTCGACAAAATGGATCCTGCAGGTTTGGCCAAAATGATGGCGGCGAAACTCAGTGGTCTTCACGGTTGTGAAGAAACTGCTCGATGGCTATGGAACAAGCGGTTCGCCGCAGCTGCATCCGACTCAAGTTCCTTCGAAGCGTTTCCTCCCTTGAAGCCCGATGGATCTGTCGGCGGAATGAAAGATCTTGGTAAGTTCTTAAATCCGAGTGAAGGGTTATCGCTGACTTGGTAGTGCTTCATGTGTATTGTTTGAGTCTTTTTGGTATGCCGATTGGAGAGTTGTGGGATTTGAGCAAACTGGCTTTGTACTGCAGGGAGAAGAAGAGGTATTCTTTCATGATCACTTCGACGCCTTTGAATCAACCTGGATTGATTGGGTCGCCGCCGAATGCGCTGGCTATCTTCTAGACTGTATCTCAATCGCGACCATAGAATTCTTGATGTTGTGGAATTCCTTGTATCATCAGTAAATGGCCTGATGGCAGATATAACTTGTGAGAGTGCTCCAAATAAAACGTGTAAGAAACACTTCGACTTAAGTTCGCCGGGAGATGCTTTATGTATCGCTATCATATTGAGTGGTTGATCTTGATGTGTGACGACCATGGTCGCCGGGCAGTGGCAGCTCCAGCTTCACAGTTGTCACTCACGAGTATTGAGACCCCAACCGGTCCACCTAGACATATTCGCTGACCCTAAGCTACAAAAAGCCAGATGTTCCTACCCAAGTCCGTAAATATATTCGTGAGACGCAGTTTGCGCCAAGCGTTCAACGCAGTAGATCCACCGCTCCTCTCCCCTTCTCCCCTTCTCCCCTTCTCCC